GTAGTAGTTAGTAACAGGCCGTAGTAAGTAGTTTATTGCTACTGTAGTAGTATCGCAATACAAAGTAGTTTAGCAATTGTAGTAGTAGTACAGCAGTAGTAGTAGTATAGCAATAGTAGTAGTAGTATAGCAATAGTAGTAGTAGTATAGCAATACAAGTAGTATAGCAATAGTAGTAGTGTTTAGCAATAGTAGTAGTAGTATAGCAATAGTAGTAGTAGTATAGCAATAGTAGTAGTATAGCAATAGTAGTAGGAGTATAGCAATAGTAGTATAGTTATAGCAATAGTAGTAGTATAGCAATAGTAGTAGTATTAGTATAGCAATAGTAGTAGTATAGCAATAGTAGTATAGCAAAGTAGTATAGCAATAGTAGTAGCTGTATAGCAATAGTAGTAGTATAGCAATAATAGTAGTAGTATAGAAATAGTAGTAGTATAGCAATAGTAGTAGTATAGCAATAGTAGTAGTAGTATAGCAATAGTAGTAGTAGTATAGCAATAGTAGTAGTAGTATAGCAATAGTAGTAGTATAGCAATAGTAGTAGTAGTTTAGCAATAGTAGTAGTATAGCAATAGTAGTTAGTTATAGCAAAAGTAGTAGGAGTATAGCAATGTAGTAGTATAGCAATAGTAGTAGTTAGACAATAGTAGTGGTATAGCTATAGTAGTTTAGTTATAGCAATAGTATTAGTAGTAGTAGTATAGCAAAGTAGTAGTAGTTAGTATAGCAAAAGTAGTAGTATAGCAATAGTAGTAGTATAGCAATATAGTAGTAGTATAGCAATAGTAGTAGTATAGCAATAGCAGTAGTATAGCAATAGTAGTAGTATAGCAATAGTAGTAGTATAGCAATAGTAGTAGTAGTATAGCAAAAGTAGTAGTATAGCAATAATAGTAGTAGCAGTAGTATAGCAATAGTAGTAGATAGCAATAGTAGTAGTATAGCAATAGTAGTAGTATAGCAATAGTAGTATAACAATAGTAGTAGTATAGCAATAGTAGTATAACAATAGTAGTAGTAGTATAGCAATAGTAGTAGTATAGCAATAGTAGTAGTATAGCAATAGTAGTAGTATAGCAATAGTAGTAGTATAGCAATAGTAGTAGTATAGCAATAGTAGTAGATAGCAATAGTAGTAGTATAGCAATAGTAGTAGTATAGCAATAGTAGTATAACAATAGTAGTAGTATAGCAATAGTAGTAGTAGTATAGCAATAGTAGTATAGCAATAGTAGTAGTATAGCAATAGTAGTAGTTTAGCAATAGTAGTAGTATAGCAATAGTAGTATAGCAATAGTAGTAGTATAGCAATAGTAGTATAGCAATAGTAGTTGTATAGCAATGTATTTATAGCAAATAGTAGTTGTTGTTTATAGCAATAGTAGAGTAGTATAGCATGTAGTTTATTTAGCAATAGTAGTAGTATAGCAATAGTAGTATAGCAATAGTATTAGTATAGCAATAGTAGTAGTATAGCAAAAGTAGTAGTAGTATAGCAATAATAGTAGTATAGCAATAGTAGTAGTATAGCAATAGTATTATGTATAGCAATAGTAGTAGTTGGCAAATAGTAGTAGTTTAGCAATAGTAGTAGTATAGCAATAGTAGTAGTATAGCAATAGTAGTAGTATAACAATAGTAGTAGTATAGCAATAGTAGTAGTATAACAATAGTAGTAGTATAGCAATAGTAGAAGTAGTATAGCAATAGTAGTAGTATAGCAATAGTAGTAGTATAGCAATAGTAGTGTATGTTCATAGTAGTTAGTATAACAAATAGTAGTAGTATAGCAATAGTAGTAGTATAGCAATAGTAGTAGTAGTATAGCAATAGTAGTAGTATAGCAATAGTAGTAGTAGTATAGCAATAGTAGTAGTTATAGCAATAGTAAGAAGTAGTATAAGCAAAGTAGGTAGTTAAGCAATAGTAGTAGTATAGTCAATTGTAGTAGTAGAAAACTAGTATGGCAGTAGTATAGAATAATAGTAGTATACAATAGTAGTAGTAGTATAGCAATGTAGTAGTAGTTAGTTATAGCAAATAATAGTAGTATAGCAATAGTAGTGTGTATAGCAATAGTAGTAGTAAGCAATAGTCGTTAGTTAGCAATAAGGTAGTTAGATAGAATAGTAGTAGTTAGTAATAGTAGTAGCAGAGAATAGTAGTAGTTATAGCAATAGTAAGTAGTATAGCAATAGTAGTATTGCAGTAGTAGTATAGCAATAGTAGTGTATGCAATATGTAGTAGTTATTGCTAAAGTGTAGTAGTAGTAGTATTGCAATCGTAGTAGTAGTAGTAGTATAGCAAGAGTAATAGTAGTAGTAGTATAGCAATAGTAGTAGTAGTATAGCAATAGTAGTAGTAGTATAGCAATAGTAGTAGTAGTAGTATAGCAATAGTAGTAGTAATATAGCAACAGTTAGTAGTAGTATACCAAAATAGTAGCATTAGTTGTTATAGCAACAAGTAGTAGTATAGCAATAGTGGGTAGTATAACAATAGTGGTAGTATAACAATAGTGGTAGTATAACAATAGTGGTAGTATAACAATAGTAAATTACTATGATAGAAGTGTAATATATATTTCTTGACATTTAGCCTAAATATTACCTTTAAAATGCTTGTTATTATTATCATTATAATGAAAGGGGAAGCGCTAAACCCACGGGAAATATAAATCTATAAAAATCTGGAAATAAATCGTACTGAAAAATAACTAAATCATGACACGTGACCTGGCATTTTGGTTATTTTTATATACCTAAGGTATATATGGAGCATGTATATAATGTGACATTATGAGGAATATATACGAATAATGTATATCATTATGTATCTAGATGTTGATACATGTATATAGTCTTACCTTGGTGAGTGGCCAGCAGCAAATGTTGATAGAAGCATTAATATTCTCGGTGTTCACTAACCCGACACAGGTGTTCAGAGCACCACTGACATCCTTAGTGCTCACTAACCCGATAGAGAAGTATTCAGTAACATTCTGTGTTCACTAACTCAATACAGAGCACCATTAACATCAGCAGTGTTCACAAACCCAACACACCGTGTTCAGAGCACCACTAACATCTCCAGTGTTCACAAACCCAACACACGTGTTCAGAACACCACTAACATCCCCAGTGTTCACAAACCCAACACACATGTTCAGAACACCACTAACATCCCCAGTGTTCACAAACCCAACACACGTGTTCAGAACACCACTAACATCCCCAGTGTTCACAAACCCAACACACCGTGTTCAGAGCACCACTAACATCCCCAGTGTTCACAAACCCAACACACGTGTTCAGAACACCACTAACATCCCCAGTGTTCACAAACCCAACACACGTGTTCAGAGCACCACTAACATCCCGTGTTCACCCCAAACCCCCAACACACTGTGTTCTGAGCATCACTAACATCCCCAGTGTTCACAAACCCAACACACGTCTTCAGACCACTAACATCCCCAGTGTTCACAAACCCAACACGTGTTCAGAACACCACTAACATCCCCAGTGTTCACAAACCCAACCACAAGTGTTCAGGCATCACTACATCCCCAGAGTTCAACAAACCCAACATCACGTCTTCAGTCCCACTAACATCCCCAGTGTCACAACCCAACACCACGTCTTCAGACACTTAAACATCCCAGTGTTCACAAACCCAACACACGTGTTCAGAGCATCACTAACATCCCCAGTGTTCACAAACCCAACACACGTCTTCAGAACACCACTAACATCCCCAGTGTTCACAAACCCAACACACGTGTTCAGAACACCACTAACATCCCCAGTGTTCACAAACCCAACACACGTCATGGAGAGCACCACTAACACCTTCCTACGTTAATTTAACAATATTATAAGAGGTGAGAGCACCATTAACCTCCTCACTCACCACTAACACAACAACAACTGCTCAACTTGGAGTCACAATGTCAGAAGTCTCTGGAAACACTCACAGTTACCAACACTGTGGCCCCTCAAGGGAGGTTCCTTGACGCTCGTGAGGGGCTCTTGATCTAGGGAATTGGATCTGTGCTCCAGTTCCCTGAATTGAGCCTGAATACCTTCCATCCCTCCCCCACACATACGTTGTATAATCCTAAGGGTTTAGCGCTCCCACATGAATATAATAATAATAACCAACACTGTGTATTACACTAGGGTCATTAATTGCTTGTAATATATTCACTCAGTCAAGAATACTTTAATACCTAAAATAGGGATTAAGGTATATTCTCAGTGTATATACACTGAGATATACATTTCTCGGTGTATGTATATTCTGTTTCCCTGATACTTAGAGATTGTTGAAGCTTGGAAAGACATTATACGTTTCTCTCATTTCCCATTCAAAGTGTATATATACCGAGGTGTATCTGTGTATATACACCGAGATGTGTATATCAAAGTATACTTTAATCCTTATTTTAGGTATTAAAGTATTCTTGACTGGATGTGAATATTACATGCAGCCTCGTGTAGTTGATAGGCTTTAAACTTAATAAATTAGCCCCCAGGCGCTGTATAGCCCTTGTGGGTTTAGTGTTTCTATAGAACTGTAATTATAATAATAATAATAATCTACGTGACAAAATCTATAACATTCATGGTGACATTGGTCATATTTTTATTTCGTGAGGGGAAGCGGTAAACCCAAAAGGAATCATGAAGCGCCTAGGGAATGAACGGGAGGTTATCAGGTTTGATCCAAGGAAGGGGAGGGTAACTCAAATTCCATAGATCAAGAGCTCAAATCCCTCCCCCCCCATCCTTCCCCACGAGGCAAGTTTTTTGCAAACGAGGCTTCGAGCCCATCCAGGGCTCCTGGTCCGAGGAACTGGAGCTACCTTTAACCCCCCCCTTCTTTGAATCAAACCTGTCTGCCTCCCATTGCCCCCAGGCGCTACGTGAAACCCCTAACGGGTTTAGCCCTTCCCTCACTACCAGATGGAAGGAATACAATAAATAATACAGTATTGTATCTCATATAAATTTAATACATTTCAACTGTATAACCCACTGCATCCCCTGGAGATGTCTTAGTGGTGCCGAGGGGCTCTTGATCCAAGGAACTGTACCTCTCCTTCCCCTTCCATGGATCGAACCTGATAGCCTCGTATACCTCTGCGGGTTTAGCGCTCCCTAACATTACTATACAACCCATTACCATATCCCAGAAATATTATTTTGTTTTGCACTTTAATATAATAATAATAATAATAATAATAATAAAAATGATAATAACAGTAATATAGTATCATTATTATTCATAAGGAGGGTAATCAGGCTTGATCCTAGGAAGGGGAGGGCAGCTCTAATTCCCCGGATCACACGGGAATGAAGATTCAGAGGAGACATATCCACAACGTAGAAGATACGAGACAACATGCGAAGTGGAAGACAGAAAGGAGCGTGTCTTGATGCAGGTGAATCGCTCGATCCAAGGTACAGGAGCAATCATTTTCTTCCTTGCATCAAGCCTGATTACCTCCCCTTCCCTGGGCACTGTATAACCCCCTGTGGGTTTAGCGCTTCCTCGTAAATAGAACGATGACAACAGATTCTGAACAGTTGGAAAGACACCTGTTTTGTTAAACAATACCCAAGACAGGTGTAGCAGCTGTTGTCACTCACATACAGGTGTAGCAGCTGTTATCTTTCACATAGACAGGTGCAGAAGCTGTTCTCTCACATAGACAGGTGTAGCAGCTGTTATCTCTCACACAGACAGGTGTAACAGCTGTTGTCACTCACATAGACAGGTGTAGCAGCTGTTATCTCACATAAATGCAGAAGCTGTTATCTCTCACATAGGTGCAGCACCTGTTGTCACTCACACAGACAGGTGCAACAGCTGTTACCACTCGCATAGACAGGTGCAGCAGCTGTTATCTCTCACACAGACAGGTGTAGCATCTGTTATCACTCAGACAGGTGCAGCAGCTGTTACCACTCGCATAGACAGGTGCAGCAGCTGTTATCTCTCACACAGACAGGTGTAGCATCTGTTATCACTCAGACAGGTGCAGCAGCTGTTACCACTCGCATAGACAGGTGTAGCAGCTGTTATCACTCACATAGGTGTAGCAGCTCCTCACGCAAACACACCTGTACAGCGGCTTATCAATCAAATACAAATGAGCGGTGGCCTATCCCTCAGCACAGGAGTCTATCACCCCACGACACAGGTGACGGAGCCTATCACCCCACGACACAGGTGAAGGGGCTACCAGGGATGTGTTGTCCATCCCAGGTGATGACCACCTGATAGTGACCAGGTGTTGTGACCCTGTATAGCACCTGGTAGACCCCGGGGGAATCTTCCACAGGGTAGACCTCGGTGCCGGAGACTAAACCTTCACTTGTCCCTTCCACACTCACCCTCACCTGTCCACATAGAAATAATTATTATTATTATTATTATTATTATTATTATTATTATTATTATTATTATTTATCAGTGTTATTATTACTACTATTATTGCTTTTATTACTATTATTATTATTATTATTATTATTATATTTTTGGGTAAAGCAATTTGACTGAGGGGGTGTTAATCCAAAGATATGGAGTTATCCTCCCTTTCCTTGTATCACACTTGACTGCTTCCTATTTCCCACTATCTCTCGTCTTCCTTACTATCTTACCTCTCCCTGGGGTCTCAATGTTCTCTCCCCACGTGAGTCTCAACCCAGCCTTTGTCTCTCATCTCTCCTTTTCCCTCTCTACCTCTCACCCCTCTTAGGACCTTTCTCTCGCTATCAAGACATTTCTCTCCCTCTCACCTCTCCCTGGTCAGCTGCCACGGTGTCTATAATGAAACTGTTGGTGTCTAGTATGGTGCCCCAGGCCAGACCATCACCGTATGCGCGACAACCACATCTGTCTTCCCCCTGGCCTCCTCTTGTCTTCTCTTCTTTGTCTTCTGCCTCTTCTTCCCTATCTCCTTCGTAATCCTTATCATCCACCTGAATTTCCTCCTCCTCTTCTTTCTCGTCCTCCGAACTTAGGTCAATATTCGCCTCTTCCACCACTGTAGATACGTCTGTCAACACTCTATCAGATTTTGACTGGGAACATTCTACAGCATCCTGTGAATGTGTTTGAATGTCGCCTTTACCACTGGTATCAGTCGACACTACACCTTCCAGCGAGAAATTGGCACTATCTGAGGAGAGCACAGCACTTTCACAGCTGCTGTGCTTGGCGTACACACTGTCTTCAGTGATAATAGTCTGCGGGTGTGGCAGCAGAGCTGTGGTGTCTGAGGAAGTCTGGTGACAGGAAGTGTGGGAGATATCAACAGGAGACTCAAATTCGGGAGACGGAGACTCACTGGTGGGTAGGAGAGAGAGGATCTCCGGGAGGCTGGAGCGACGGAGTTCCTTCAGGGAGATGAGGTCTCCCAGATCCTTCCTGACCACCCTGGAGGTGGTCCCACTCGCTCCACTCACTGGCACGTGAGGGAACTCTCCTCTGTAACACCCACTCAGCGTTTGGATCACCTGTCAGGGACAAGACGTTGCTATATTACACAAGACGTTGCTATATTACAGAAGACGTTGCTATATTACCCGACCGCCTTATATTGTAACTGATGTTAACACAGTTGAGTTACTTAGCTGTTTTAACTTTTAAGGTTTAAATAATATGTATTACAAGGACCCCAATGGAAATAAGTCACTCTGACTGACTTTTTGGTAACTGACATCATGTATGATAATTGCACTTATGTGTACCTGTGCCTAAATAAACTTAATGTTACTGATTACCTTCCGCAACTCAGACGCTCTAGAACCCCTATGGGTTTAGCGCTTCCTCATGAATAATAATGAGTCTTGGTTAGTTACAAATGACTGTTATATTTACATGTATAATAACATTGACCACTAGGAAACTCACAGCTGCAGCCACTTGTTCTAAGTGGGTAGCTCGATGTTGCTGAAGGTCTCTTGATTCGAGGAATTGAAAAATACCCTCCCCTTCCTCGGATTAAGCCTCATTACCTCCCATTTTTTCAGGCACTGTATAACCCTTAAGAGTTTAGCGCTTCCCCCATGGATATATATATAATATAGTGCCTCTTGATTAAAGGTTCTCTATAACACTGCAACATATGAGGGCTGCAACTCATATATTGCAGCATTTTGTTTGTTTACAATTGTTTCTCAACAATGATTCATCGTCTGTATGACCCTTACGACTTTAGCGCTTCCCTCTCAATATACCAAGAATAGTTTGAAATTGTTAATCATGTATTTTTGTTTCATCTATGTAAATAAATGTGATACGTGATTATATATATACATATTTGTGTGTGTGTGTGTGTGTGTGTGTGTGAACTACAGCTATAATACAGAGATAGGTTAAGTTACCATGATGGAGGAAGGAGCGCTACTACTGGGAAGGAGGGAGGACTAGGAACCCCAAGGTCTCTGCAGACGGACCTCATCTTGGGGGAAGTGCTGGAAGTCGTCAGGGTCGAGGTCTGCAAAGTCATCGTGGACCAAGGGATCCAGTTGTCCCTCAGGGTACACCGATGGCAAATCGCTAGCCAGGTCCTTAAGGCAAGCCACAAGGGATGAGGAATTGGCTATCCCAAACTTCCTGGAATTTATCGTATTATCCCCAGAGTCCTCGGACCATCCCTGGTCTCTATTCAACTCATAAAGTGTCCCAGAGTGAGGCGGGAACACCTCCTTCAGGAAGAGCTGAGCATCAGACACTGATCGTTCCCTAGTCGAGACCTGAGACCCGCGTCGACGTCTAAATATGCGACGTTTTAGCTTGGGCATTTCCAGAAGGTCGTACTGTCGGGATCTCCGCGATACTCTTCGTTTTAAAGGGCTCACAAAATCTTCTTGATATACCTGGATTTCCTTATCACGGGGAAATGCAGTTCCATCTTTGTTTTGGTATTTACTCTTTCAAGACTGCTTTGGCAGCCCTTGTTGACCAAATACACGTTGTGTGTGAGGAGATACAAAGGATCCCAGCTCTTTATCTGTTTGGCAGCCATGATCTGCCATGTTCACCTCCGGTAACATTTTATCGACTCCATTACAGAGCTCTTCTTGTTGTGGCGGTTGTGCTTCTTTCAGAGGAGACGAGCTTAAAGACGACTCAGAATGTTTACGAGAGGAAGACCTTGTACTCTCATCACTGTACTTCACGATGTGTTCCAGTTTGGTAGGGAAACTCGCTACATAGCTTGTGTTATTGTCCCTTCTGTGCTTGAGGTTACAATCAACATTCTGACTGGAGCTTCCTGTGGCTACTAATCCGCTCTCCTTCATTCCCCTCTCAAACAAGTGACGCGCTGAGGCAAAGCTACGCTGGTATTCAATATAGTCGCAGCTCCAACGGGGTTCGTTGACCTCTGATACGCTCAAGTTTCTCCTGTTTTCCTCTACTTCACTCTGAGGTGGTGGTAACGTCTGAAGACTTCCTAGGGAAGATTCGGACTGCAGCTGAGAGAGACTTCGACGCGGCGAACTAGTCTCAGCGTCCCTGGCAATGACTTCTTGTGGGTGTCTTTTATCCAACTGTACTGCATAAACGTTATGTGCTTCACTCTCTGGGGAAGACCAGCTGGTGTCTGTCACGGTAGAGAGAGAGAGAGAATAAGTTGTATCATGTACTTGTAGAAATAAAGATTATTATTAATAATATTATTATTATTATAAGTGGTAGAAAAAAAATAAAAATAACGTGACTGAAATCAACAACAATAAGTCTAAATTAAATCTGGAATTGACTTTTACCATCTTATCTTTTAATTTTTAATGGGGTGGACTGGTAAGCCAGCGGAAGGCCTCAGTCATATGACCAAAAACTCTAGTTAATTGATCATCATATGACTAAGACTGTGTCAAGAAACACTTGTCCTGTTTCATGACGAATAACATACCATCAATACTTTTGGCTCTCGCCACGTTCTTCACTGACGACCTAATAATGGTCCAGAATGGACCGAAATTTCATTTAGTTTTAATTTTGTGTGTTTCTTGTGATATATTAAACCTTTATCTATAAAGGCTCGCACAATCATACTGACACGATTGTGAGCAACAGAGGGCTGGAATTCATGGAGAACAAGTCGTAAAACTAGCATGGTGCAGTAGATAATGCACTGGCTTCCTAGTTGTAGTACTGGCTTGCCATGGGTCAAACCCTCCGTTCTGTGAGTTATGTCTACGAAGTAAATACCTAAACAATGTACTTTAACATCTAATACAGCTGAGTTATACATTTAGTTAGCGTGAAACATAAGGGAATACGACACTAAATAATTGCAATAAAGACAACTGTTAAAAAGCGACATGTTTGTAGGTCTATAAGTGGAGTAGATGAAGGTATTGTCTCCCACACTTCACAAAAACATTCAGTCTTGCTAAAAGTCTCTCCGCTTGATGTACAACATACACAGGATATGTACACAGAGAAGTATATCTCTCTCAGCGTATATATGCAAGCTTGAAGCATTCAGGCAAGTTATATGTGAGGGTGGAGTGAGGGTCAGGTGAAGGACTAATGGTGAAGGGATTAGCAGTGAAGGAAGTACTCACCGAGGCTCTGGGTTCCCTTCAGGCTGAGATGGGGCTTGTTCTTGGTATTACTGCCTCTAGTAAGTTGTTGGTCCTCACCCGACACCTCACACTCCGAACACACTTGATCTTCTGCAGTACCCAACTTGGTGTCGACCTCACTCGAAGCTGCTGCAGCATCCTCAAGGCTCCTGCAGCGGTCGTTGTATGTCTGAAGGAGTAAGTCCCCTTCGACTGTGTTATGGAGGATGTACAGTAGGGTATCTGAGACTCGCGAAGCTCCTACTTCTACAGGAGAAAGGCAGTTCAGTTTATTTTCTCCTGAGCCGACATCTAGGAAAACATCGGGGGAGTTTTTTCCTGTGGACTTTTTAGCACTTCCTTGTAATATTGATCTTTGTTCAGTTTCTTCCTCTTTTGTTTTATGAACTTTAGCTTCCCACATACTCCTCTGCCGACTCACTTTCCCGACGACAGAACTAATGTATTCATCATCTAAAATTACCGGCGTGTGATCGTCACCAGACTCTGATTTGCAGTCCACACTGTCCTGACTGTCGACGCTCTCTGTACTTATGACGCTCCCCAGACTGTCAAACCTCTTCCTTTGCTGAGCCACTTTGCCCTTAATCCCGCTGAGGTACTGTTGTGTTTCGTCGGGAGTGATGGAGCGATTAGGTTCCATATGGGGAGATGGCACTTGATACCTCGAGTACTCCAGCAGGTCTTTCTTAGGCACCAATAGCCCTATATCTTTTCCATGTGATGATGATGTTCCCTGCCACCGACTGGGAAATTTAACTGTGCTTGAAGAGTTAGGAAATTTGCGATGGATTGGTGATGTTGATGCCGTGCGTTGTCGTTTCCACGTCCAGTATCCGGTCTTCATTGGCGTCGCTTCCCACCTAGTCTTGCACTTTTGTACCAACCCTCTCTGGATCTTCACGCTTATCTTCCTGCGAACTCTTTTAGGAGTATATGCTTCCTCTTCAGTTGAGTCTCCACCTATATGTCTCTCGGAAGAAGACTGGCATTTCTTAAGCACTTTAGATTTTTTAACATATCCAAAAGACCTTGTAGCTTGCGCTACAGATTTAGTGTCCTCCGTGTCTCTATTAGCTTCGTGTCTTCTGCTGGTTCCATTGTGAGAAGCATCAGCAGGACGGCCATCAAGCTCATTACTAGATTCTTCGGTGAAATCCTTACTTTGAGAATCAGATTTTCTTCGCTTCTGAGCTTTGGTTTTCTTCCAGTTAGCATAGCCGTCTTCCTGTTGCTGCAAGTCAAACCTCTGCTGAGTGATTTTCACAGTTCCTTTCTTTATCTTGATGCTTAGCTTGCGCCCTAGAGGAGTTTTCGTTTCCACAATTTCCGGGTAAGATTCATTTGCTAGGATCTCCTCCTTCCCGACAAATGTGTCCTTTCCTTCCTCAGCCATGGGTCGTCTATGAAACACAGTGTTTTGCATTCCACTCATTTTGTTCACTTTTAGCTCCTGTTGTTTCTGGATAATGAAGTCATCCCAGAAACATTTCTTTTGCGACACCAAATTCTTTAAGGGCTCGTCCTGCCCAAAACTTGGAACATTCATCTCAGCCTCGGCATTGAAACCTTTGATTAAGACAATGGATTGTGACGACTTAGGGTTGGAATCTACGGTACTGTCTCTAAATTCTTTGTCTTTCTTTTCAGGCTTCCAGAAAGCTCCAGAGGTGCTCTTTGAGCGAGTATGACTTTTGTTTCTCTTAACCGTTTCTCTTGCTTCATTCTTTAGCAATAGCTGATCCCAAAATATTTTCTTCTGAGAGACCATGTCCTTAGAAGGTGCACTGTTGGAGGTAGTGGATCTTTTTGGCTCGTAGTGAGCGTCGGCCTTTCTAGACGGCGGCGGGTGTGACGACTCGAGCAACAGTAAAGCCTCTTCTGACTTCCTATGTGGTACTCCATCACTTTGTTCTTCACTGATTAAAGGGCTCTCCCACCTCTCTCGATTCTCGTTACTCATCGTTGATTCTGCCAGAGATGTGTTCTTTATCATCACCTCCGCGTTTTCCTGCTTGCTGACGACACTATCCCAGTAGTCCTTTTTTTGTGCCACTAGGGTGGTCGACGGCAGGCAGGTAGTCGAGGCTGTGATCGATCCAGCCACGTAACGACCTGGAACATCAGGAAACTTAAGGTCGAACTCTTCAGAGGCATCGACCCACACTTCGAAGCTTTCATGCCTCCTCTGAGAGGAGGCAAATTTAGGATTTTTTGGGAAAGATGACTTCAGGGGCTTTTTCGTACAATTCAGGGGAAAACATATCAGGAGCATCAGCACCTGATGGTTTCTCAGAAATTTTACTAGTTGATGACATTTCTGGTACTTTATTATATGATAAAATATGACCTTCATCAGGTGATGTCTCTTTGGGAAATTCATCAAGTATTCCAGATGAAGAACTGATAGCATCTGAAGCTATCTCACTAGCTTTTAGCGGGAATTCACTGTAGCATTTTACAATTTCCTCTTCCTCATTACCCCTTCCTTTACTTTCATTATTATTTTTCTCTTGTCTTGACTTTGCCATAACAAAAAAATCTGTAAGCATGGAGTCTCTAGCTTCAGGGAGACTCCCATCACAATCAGACTTGTTTACCGAAAGCATAGTGTTGTGAAAAGCTTTTTTGTTATAGTTAAGAGTGCAATTAATTTCTGAGCTTTGGAGCTCAGCAAATGCATTCGTAATCCTGGCTTTGTCTCCTGTAGCTACACAATCTTCAGTTGATTTTTCTTGGTAATATTTGATGGCCTCTGTTGGGTCGGACTTGTTTTTAGCTTGGAAGTATGCCTGGTGTCGCTGGTGTTGAGTGTTGCTCATCCTCCCAGACTCGATCTCAACGTTCGAAGTCCTCGTGAAAGTTTCAGGACTAGCAGTTTCCTCTATTTCTGTATCCCCATTTCCCTTCCTCCTGTTGTTTAACATGGCAGTAAGTTCCTCATCACCACCAACTATTTTGCCAAGTTCTTTATCTGGGCTACTTTTTCCTTCTCTGTCCAGCATTTCTACTTCTGCAACTTTTATATCATCAGAGGAAAAAGTAAGTTTATGATTTAACTCAAACTGCAAGATGTTCTCAGAAGTCGATGTATTCTCCTCCCATACTTTTCGACCCAGCTGCACAGTGCCTTCACAGATCGAGAAGCTGCTAGTTCTCAGCTTATTAGGTTCTTCTGAAGCTTCGTCCTCAGAGACAAAAGATTCAGGGAGGCTGGGCGTTTCACTGCCATACACTGCATCTATCGAACAAAACTGCAGCTCACGAAGTTTTAACTTCTCAAGGATAACCTCCTGTGTCACTGAGAGATCCTCATCATCCCCATTCTCACACTCTTTATCTGTGCTGCTCGTGTGTGATATCCGGTGGATCGCCGCTAGATCCCGATGCTCTCTCTTCTCCCTTTCTCTCCTCGACACACTTACGATACTCTCAGGCTGAAAAGCAGCAGACGCAGTGTCACCTAATTCGTTGTTTCTACAGTCTGCGAGTATAGTTCTTGCTTCATCCCGAGTGGGATCACTTCTGGATGGGGCAACTGCCTCATCTGCCAACATCATCTGACTCTTAATACATCTGTAATCATTTGTTTTCATCCGCTGCTTGTATTCATCTTCGGAACTTTTCATTTCTTCCCATTTTTTCTTTTCTTTTCTGGTCATTCCTTCCTGAGTTTTACAGCTTGAACTTCTGGTGAAGAGTGAACCTGAGAAGTTCACTTCATCCTCGTCCTGATCAGAGTGCACGGGTTCATTTGTGTCGCGCAGCTCATTGCGCGACTGGTCGTTCGTGGTGCAGGTACCAGATAGCTTCTCACTACCCACCTGTTGCTGCCTCACCTCCCTCAGGTTCTTGGTAACATCTACAGCGTATCTGTCTTGGACTTTCACGCTAGGCTGATTCCCAGACTTTTGTAGGTGTTCCATGTGGTGAGGAACAAAAGCTGGAACACTACAAACAGAAACTGGTGAAGGCAGCAGTTTGGCAATCTCTCTTTTATACAGAGTCTTCCCAACATTGGCAACATCAACGGGATGTTTTATTTTGAAACGGGTGTCTTGTGCCTGTTTCCATTCCCACAAGTCTCTCCCACACTTTACTTTTCCCTTCTCGATCATTTCAAGGCTAGAAATCCTCTCGACAGTCTCGGCGTCTTCAGATTTGTCTTCTCTTACTTGTTCTTTAATTGCTTTGACATGTGATACATTGCAACTGAAACTTGCTATACTTTTCAAATTCGAGTCTCCGTCTTCCCACATTTTCTTTCCTGCCAACACCGTTCCCTTTTGGATTTCCTCGATGCTAGGTATTCGTTCAGTTACATTTTTGTTGTTTTCTTCATTTTGTAAGCCATCAGTCTCTTGAGATATGTCTTTCTCTTCGGAAGTAAGGGCTGTAGGGCTCTGTTCACGGGGTAAAAATGATGCTGCAGCTATGTGGATATTCCTCAAGGGAAGTTTCGATTTTTTCCACTCCGTATAGTCTTCGTGATCGTTTTGTAACTGTATCTTTGTTGACTCCCATCTCTTCTTCTCCTCCAAGACAGCACCTTCAGGAATTGTGAAACTTGGCTGTCTACTAACCGAAAGTTTACCGGACGAATCTTTCTTTGACTCACGAAGTTTAGGTCCCTTTTTGTTTTTCTGTGCTCTCACCTTGCTCTTTAAGATCCGTTCAGTCTTCATACATTCAGACGACGCTAAACTGAGCCATACCTGCCGTGTAGTGCTCACCAGACCCTCCTCAATGCAAGGCTCAGTAAGAGGCTCGTCGTATCGAACTACTTCCCTGGTATGTACCCGTTCAGATGACTGAGAAGGCTCGACCTCCAGTGGTTCTTCGTCGACTGAGCTCTCTAGGGAGTCACTCTGCGAAATTCCTTCCACCTGATGTCTATCACTGCGGACTTGTGTCTCATCAGCGTGTCTGGCAGCGTGTATACGAGCCCACTCAGCTTCTATTTCTTGTTTCATGGCTTCTTCCCTCGCCTCCCACAAAAGTTTAGTGCCCACTACTGTTCCATCTTTTATTCTTACACTCAGCTGGTAACCGACTGCTGGCTTAAATTTTGGGGTTCCTTTACGCTGCCTGTGTTCGCACGAACTGCCTTTACGTGTACTATCTTGAGGGAAGTGCTGAATGATGTCATCTGCCTTTGACACCTCTTCACTGGACGGTGTGCTTACTTCTAACTCACCTTCCTCCATAATGGGAATCTTTCCCTCCCACTGGCTCTTCCTCTTCTGCACGATACCCTTGGCAATCATCTTGATGCTGGGGCGACGATCCACAGGAGCACAGTCGTCCAAGGATGACTGGGACTCCTGGCACTCGTGGGGTTCCTCCCTCCCTCCAACTGATTTATTTTTTTCCTTCTTACTTTTCTGCCCGTGTTTGTCTTTTGAATCAGAAGTATCCTTTCCTACTTTTATCATTTTCTTTTGCGGCATTTGCTCAGCATTTGTACGGTATTTACTGCTGTGTGTGTTCTTATGCCGCACATCCTTCGCAAGTGCTACTTCTGAGTATTTTCTTTCCCACAGTTCCTTCCCACTCTTTACCAAGCCTTTCTCTATATTCTTGAAACTTGGTACTCGTTCGAATCTTGGCACTTGTTCAAAACCTTCATCGCTCTCGAGGTTATCCTCATCCTTGTCTCTTGAGCTCCGATCTGCCGAGTTCTGCTTATTACCACTCGCCTTAGTTGAAACTGTGGTTTCGTCCATTGTCAAGGTCTTAGTTGATACACTTGCACATGTTTCATATTTTCCAGGTACTTGACTCAACGGAGTTTTGGTATATAAATCCATTTTGTGGTCATTTCCATATTTTCCTGGAAATATCATTTCTAGCTGTGGGGGGTTTTGTTCTTGCTTTTTACTTTTCTGCGTTGATGTTTCGCTCTTTAGAAAACTCTCATCGTTGGCATCAGAGTGCCGCAAAATCTTCCTCGTGATTAGAACGTTGTCTACTTCAGTGTCATGGTGAGGAGGATTATCATTAGCCTGGCTGGCTTCCATGTTGACGCACTGATTCCAAGTTTCGTCAGTGTGGGACAACAAACCCGGTCTTATAGCTTTCATCCTCCCAACCTGACGTAAGAGAGCTTTTTGCTTCTGGGGAGAGTCCATCACACCAGCTTCTTCACATATTAACATTTTCCTCACATTCAACACGTTCTCCTCCTCCTTGGTTAAGCTGCCATTTTTTGTTAGGTCGCTCGACTGGCTGCTGACATCTGCGTGTCCTGAACTCCTAGAAACTCGTGCCTCAACAGCTTCGTTTCCAGTCAATACGTGACCCTGGAACTGTCTCCTGGAAGTCACAAGATCAAAGGGGGTCTGTGTAACTGGCTGAGATCTGCTTCGCTGGTAATGAGAGTTTATCTGTTGACAGTTGTCATCGATGGAGCTGTCGCCACTAGAGTAAATTCTAAACTCATGTATCTCTTCCATTAAGCTACGGCGAGACTCTGAACGACTTGAAATATCAGATTTTCCCTTACTGTGAGTATGTGAAGGGCTACAAACGTCAGATTTTCCCTTGCTGTGAGACTGTGAGGGGCTAGAAACATCAGATTTTCCCTTACTGTGAGACTGTGAGGAGCTAGAAGCATTAGATAATCTCTTGTTGTTAGACCTGCGAGACTGTGAATAAGAAAAGTCAGATTTATCCTCCAGCTGAGAGTGCAAATGGCAAGAGACATCAGAATTTTCCTTCCGGTGCGACTGTGAAGAGACAGAAATATAAGAGTTTTCCTCTATATGAGAGTCTGGAGGACAAGACGCATCACAGTTTACCTTGCTGGGAGAGTCTGGAGGACAAGACGCATCACAGTTTACCTTGCTGGGAGAGTCTGGAGGACAAGACACGTCACAGTTTACCTTGCTGGGAGAGTCTGGAGGACAAGACGCATCACAGTTTACCTTGCTGGGAGAGTCTGGAGGACAAGACGCATCACAGTTTACCTTGCTGGGAGAGTCTGGAGGACAAGACGCATCACAGTTTACCTTGCTGGGAGAGTCTGGAGGACAAGACGCATCACAGTTTACCTTGCTGGGAGAGTCTGGAGGACAAGACGCATCACAGTTTACCTTGCTGGGAGAGTCTGGAGGAATAGCTACATCTGTATTTTCCTCCTCGTGAGACCGTAAATTTTTAGAAATATCGCATTTTTCTTTGAAGAGAGAGTGCGAGGAGCTAGAAAAATCTGAGTGTTCCTCCTGGTGAAGCTGAGAATGATGAGAAACTTTACCTTTTGTCTTGCGGGAAGAGTGCGAGGAGCTAGCCGTGATTTCCTCTTGAGAAGATTCTGAATGGCTAGAAAACTCAGTATTTTGCTCATTCCCAAAGAAAATATCCTTATGTTGCGTTAGCTTGGCCACAGCAGTATGAGATTCTGGACCTTCAGATATGCGACGTCCAGTGGCATTGTCACGACCTGAAGAACCAGATTGGACAACGATATTATGTCGTAAATCTTCTACGGACGAGGAAGAAATGGGAACCTTCCTCGCCTAATACCTGCTGAAATTCATCCAAGACATCAGTGACATGCTCCATAGACAGCAAACTGTCGTGATTTTCAGTGTCACATTTGAGGTCTTCGACCGGTGGACTCGTGTCACTGGGGTTAATGTGAGTGGACACATGAGTGGTCTCCACATGCTCTCCTTCTTGTTCGAGGGACTTATATTCTTCAGATTCTAATGCACTTAATTTGTGCACTAAAACTGGGTCAACGGGAAGACCCAAGTCATAGACACTCTCAAAGATATCAGACGATATTTCTGAAAGCGTACTTTCTTTATCATAGTGAGATTCACTTCCCTCGGGAGACACAGTACCATACAGCTCCTCCTTAGCTGTCACCGCTGCAGAATTACTACCTCGCACTCCTTCAGCAGGACTTGAAGAACTCTTCTTATTTTCATTGTTAATTTTCACTTCTTGGGGAGTAAATATGTCCAGGTCGTTTTCCTGCACTTCACTTTTAACATTTTCCCTTTTCCCTGCATACTCGCCAAGGTCCCTTGCAAGGACGTTGAGAACTTCGTCAGAAAGGTCTCCCTTCGTATCACTTACCAGATCCTCATCACCAGGTGATGCTTCATCCTGTTGCTCCTCTACTCTGGTCTCTAAACACTCCACGCTGGAACTGTATGATGAGTGGCCAGACACACGCGTTCCCCGTGTTTTATTTCTTATTAGTTTCACAGAGTCTGCATCTGTACAACTCCTGGCAGAATTTGTGTCTTCAGCATTTTCTTGTGGCTTCACTGGATAGATCCATTCTTGTGGGCTTTTATCATACATTTCAGTGGTTTTAGCAATTTCTTCTTTGCTGCCTTCTTTCTGTTTTTCCCCTTGTACATCTTCATGATGATGATTGGCTTCCTTCCCTGACGATGCTGGCTGGACGGTGGCGCCACCACCATATGTTTCAACTGTCTCGTTGCTACTAAGTGGATCACCACCTTGCTTGGCTTCAGGAAAATGGATTGTTTTGTCTTCCAATTCTGCCCCAGTGTGTCTATCTGTATCTGCTTCTATAAGCTCCGAGTCAGGAATTTCTGTAGATTTACAGTCAAATTCTTGTGTAGGCTCAAAGCCTATTTTTCGTGTAGGTTCTATTTCTTGTGTAGGCTCAAAGTCTATTTTTCGTGTGGATTCTAAGTCTATTTCTTGTGTAGGTTCTATTTCTCGTGTAGGTTCTAAGTCTTTTTCTTGTATAGGTTCTAAGTCTAATTTTTCTGTAGGTTTCGAATCCAAATTTTGCGTAGGTTCTGACTCAAACATTTGTGTAGATTCTGAGGTAAACATCTGTGTTGAGTCAAAGCTGAACTCTTGCGTAGGCTCTAAATTAAACATGTGTGTAGTCTCTGAGGTTAAAAAATGATTAGTTTCTGAGTCAAAAGTCTGTTTATGTTTTGAGTCAAATATCTGTGTCGAGTCAAAGCTAAAGAGTGAGTCTCCCGACTCTCTATCCTCCGAAGACTCATTAATAATGCTGAGCTCTTGAACAAACTGAGTATGTTTTGTGATGCCGTTACACGTGGTGAATATCTGAGTAGGAGGCTGTTCGTTGGTGATAGTCTCACTGGTTGTGTGCTCTTCTTCTGAGCTTTCTTCGTACCATTCAGCAAGCTCCTCCTCCGTGAATGCTGGCGTCGCCTTCACCAGCACCCGAGGTTGGCTCCCGCCGCTGTGGGTGGACTCAAGAATGTCCGACTCTATGAGAGGTTCGGTGGATCCACCGAAGTAGCTGAAAATGTTAGATGTAGCGATGTCTTCACCATCCTGATTGTCATCGTCTTCCTCCTTCTCAGGCTCATTAAGACTATCGTAGAAGTTGTGTTCGGGAGACTCCAGCTCAAAGAATTGTTCCACGTTAGTTCTCTCTTGTTTACTGGGGCTGTCTAGTTCGAGTCCCAAGAGGTCGACGGTAGGGATGGACTCTTCAGAATCTTGTGTGAATGCCATGAACGGTTGTGATGATGATGAATGTGATGATGATGGTGATGATGATGGTGATCTTCGCCATTTGCTGTTTGCTCCACCATCCTCTGTTTGGCTGGCATCAACATCATGTGCATGTGTAGCGTATGACCAAGTATGGTGATATAAGGCTTCTGGAGATTCTAATTCTCTTGAACTACAAGAATTAACATCCGTTTCCTCTTCCAGTGCACGTGAAGAGCTTAAAGCTTCCAAAGGTCCTTCGTAATTTACGTTTTTATTTACAGATTCACTGGAAATTTCGAATTGATCTTCACTGGCAGGCAAATATACATCCCCAGACTCTTCTACACAGGCGCTACTCATTTCAGTATCGTTCACTTCTCTTTTATTTTCTGACTCTTTATTTATTTCATCAAAAAAGATATCTGCGCTGTCCTCACTCCATTCTTTTCCTTGAGCATAAAATTTAGTCAAGAATGCATCATAGTGGTCACACGTGATTTCTGTTTCACATCCAAGTGTTGATGTAGGCACCAATTCATCGGTGTCTCCCAAGATAGCTTGTGCCTGGTCCTTAACAGGGTCGGCGTCCACCAGCACCTGACAAGAGGCGTCTCTAGCAGTATCTGTGCCAACTGGCACCTCATGAAAGTCATCTCCAGCAGCGTCTGTGCTCACCAGCATATCCCAAGTGTGGCCTCCATCATGTAGTACGCCACCAGTACTAGGGCATGCGTCTGATACTTCAACCGTTTGGTCTAAACTCATAATTGTACATTCTCGGCTGAACTGATCCTCGGTTGAATTTTCTGCCGTGTTTGCAGTACCAGTTCTCACCAATGACTCCTCACACAGTGTCTGAGCCACGACTGTGGGACAGCTGACACCATCTGGCTTCTTGGCTTCTCCTTGCGACTGTCCCCAATCTTCACCCACAATAATAAGGCTTCCCTCCACCTCTTGCGACTCATGCATCGTGTTAGCTGTGATGTAAGCGCCTGTTTGCATTGTTTCTGCACTGGAGGGATTACTTGTGCATGATACCACTTCACAGGGCACAGAGAACGGGTCACTGCTAGCTGTCACAGTGAACGTATCACTGGTGGCTGGGAAAATGTCACACATTACATCAACGTCATTAACAGTAGCTTTCACCAGTTTGTTTAGAAAGATATTTTGGATTGGATTTTCTTCTGCATGTATATTCCTGGAACACCAAAGAAACATCTTACGTTCTTGAAATAAATTACTGGTGCCACCTGGCAAGTCTTTGTGGGCACCAGCGAGTGGGTTAGCAGCGTTGGTGCTGAGGGAATGAGGGACAACAATACTGGTATTCAGGTTAAGATCTACAGTTAGCCCTGCAGAAGCATCGCCACTAACACTGCTATTACTCTCACCTTTTCGCTGAAACCGCCTCTTCTGGATCGATAACTCCAAGGGAACAAGCCTGCTCCTGAAGTCCGCCACTCTGAAAAAATGTCAAGTGTTCTTTGATGAATCCTACTCCTTGGTTGTAGTTACTCTCGTCACTGTGTCTGTCCTTCAAAGGTGCCTTCGTCTGAGGAATTCCTTACTCTTAATAGTCGCCTTGTGGTCCTTACAGATTATATAATCGCTACTTAATAGGTCTGGAATTTTACCTAATTTTGTTTTGTGTTCAATGTTATCAATTTCGGGTATTTCAGAGTCACTGGTGATCGACCCTGTAAATTCGATCGTATTCATTTCTTTTTGGGTTAAATATTTACAGTGATTATCTATCATATCAACATTATCAGTATTTTCTGTAGTTAGAAATGTATCCACACTGATTTCATCACCAATTGTGTTCATATTTTCTTCTCCCTGGCAATTTCCTTTGTTTACATTTCCGTGGAACATTTTGGTGTTAAACAAATGAATGTCCTTCACTCGTGGGGCTTCCTCAGCTGACAAGGCTAAAGAAATCTTCTCATGGCTAATTGTATTACATGTGCTAACCTCAGGACCTGGAAAACTATTTATCTGTGGTGTTAAAACAGACAAATTACTCCATTTAGTATTTTTAACATCTATATAATTACAGACCTCACGTTCCTGAGGCCGCAAGATACTGTCTTTTGCAGCGAAGTCAGAACCCAGAGCTTCAACATTTCCATTGATTTCATGGCCTGGCATGAAACACTCTTCAGCCTTACCAACTGCTGCCTGAGGTTCGGATACCAAGAGCTTCTCCATTGGAGGGGCAAAGGCTTTCTCTGTCAACACACTCTGCTGGCCCAGAGGTGTGATCAGGTACAGGGATTTATCATTAACATCAGCACACAATGATTCCTGGTGGGCTGGAGAGCCACTCGTGGCAGGACCACAAGAGCTAGGGGTGAGAAGAGTTTCCATGGGTGGAAAAAAGGCTTGAGTGACATCTCCCAGGAAGCGTAGCGAAGTCCTCGTCTGAAATGACATCTTTTGCAATGTTGGTTCTTCAAGGAGCCTTTGGTAGTTATGCTTATCATCAGTATGTTTGTTTGGGGTTCCAGAAATGTCGATCCTATTTCTGGAGAATCTTGCGCATTTCTCATTCTCCTTTTTCACAGAACTAGTGTGTTTCTCATTTTCATTTTTCTCGGATCTAATGTGTTTCTCATTTAGATTTTTGTTTGGAAATTTGTTCCTCTCACTGTTACCTTCATTTAAACTTCTCTGCTTATCTTTCTCATATGTGATTGGACTTCTATGTTTCTCGTTATTTTCATTCACAGTTTTGTGGTTATCATTCTCAGTCTTAGTTCTCTTTGGATTTCTGTGTCTCTGCAACTTATTTTTATCAAGATTCTCGTGCTCCTCGTTATCATTTTTGTTTTGACTTTTGCTTTCCTCAGTCATACATATTGTACTGTCGTAATTTATATTCACACTTTCTAAATGTTTACTTTCTCCTGTGTTTACACTGGGCACTTCACCAGCTTTAAGTTCGTGGAAGCATTTCTGCTCTAACGTCCCAGATTCACTTCTAGTTTGGAGAGTCTGAGTGTCTCTTGAATCCCACTGTTCTGCACTTGTTAAATTCTTAGTATTGTCAGTGGTGGAACCGACCTTCGCCTCGTGTTCATTTGTCTTCGGGTTTTCTTGTTTCTTTACTGGTGAATCTTTATTTGTTGCTGCCTTGCACATAATACCTGTGTAAGAGCGACGCCCGTATATAATTTTTGGCTTATTGTCAACCTCATCATCATCATCATAATTGTCTTCTGATGATGAAGATACATTATCTGATGATAATGACTGTCTCAGCATGGCTGCCAGCTTGTCTGTACAATGGTCGCGATTTTCATTTTCTTCCTTCATTTTCTGGTTCAACTCTTTACCGTTAACGTTTTTAAACTTGTTTTGGAAATACAGATCTGACTTTCCACTGGGAGGGAATCTCTGATCGGCTCTTGGGGAATCAGGACTTCTCATGCTCTCCAAGAACTTGAGTCTCCCGCTTGAAAGTCTACGGAATCTTGGAGGTCTGACTGGCATCCCCTCTTCCTCGTCCTCTGAGAGCTCCTGTATAGTGTGGAGTTTGCTGGTACGACTACCAGCGGGTTTGGTGTACTTAGCTTTAGTCTTGCACGGGACCTCGATATCGTCTTCGTCAGTGGGGACATCAGAGTCGGACTGGGGTGAGTCACTGTCAGAGGTCGAGGCTGGAGACTTCTTGTTACTGGGAGACACAGGGATAACCAGGGATTGGCTCCCTTTAATTGGACCCACACGCATATCATCATCTGAATCAGATTCGCAGCTGCTATCTTGGACAGTGTTATCACCAGCGTTGCCACTAGTGGCCTGGCTAGCGGCTGGACCTGACTGCTCGACATTCACACCGATATCCTTGTTTTCTTGCATGCTAAGTTGGGTGGATTCTTTGGTTTCTAATGTCGTCTCCAACACGGATTTAACTGGTTCGGGTGTCGAAGTGACTCTAGAGGCTCGAGACGTTTTTATTTCATGTGAAACTTGTTGTTTTTGCTTAAAATTCGTATCTTCTGTCTGTTCCGAAGACTGTAATGAATGCTGAATCTCATATATTCTTCTTGTTAGTTCCCTGCTCTCCAATATTGACGATTTTTTCCTTTGGCTAGCTGACGAATCTTGGTCCATGCTGTTCTGTGGTGTGCGGGTCAGATTTTTACGTTTCCTAGCAACACTGTTGACATTGCCTGGGTCACTTATTCTTGAGGATACACTCATTTTGGATTGTTTGTGGTCTCTGGCTTCCAGTTGTTCCGCAGCATCATGTGATCCTCTTTCAGTGGTGCTAAACGCTTGCTGAGTTTCATATTTTCTCACTAGCTCATCACTGTCCAGCATGGTGGTTTTTTCCCATCCCTCAAGTGAATTTTGATCTTGTTCTCTGGCAGCCAACTGTTCATCAATATACCACTGAGGCACAGAGAAAATGTCCCCAGAGTCTTCGGTGCCAAAAGATAAATCGTCATCTGAATCTTCAGAGGCTTGTTCCTCAGACTTGTCCATTCCTGAAGGGGTGAGATCTGTTGCAGTTGCCTCCACCCCAGTCTTGTTCTCGTCAGGCCAACTGGTAGGTTCACCTTGTGTGGGCGCCTCTGTCTTCTGCTGGTCTCCTACAATAACGTTACTATCACCTAGGGTTCTCTCAACTGAACCAAGGTGAACGGGATTTTCCTCCGTTAAGGAGGTTGTAGCTTCCTCAATATTCGAACAAACGTGTAATGTTTCATGTTCCTTTACCTTTTCCCTGGCAGCAAACTGTGTATCTTCTGTACCAAAAAAATAATAATCTTCATCTGAGTCTTCTATGCTTTGTTCTTCAACTCCCAGATGAATGGCTGACGGAGGCATCGATAATTTGTTTTCTAATACTGCAGGATATGCATTTTCCGTATCTTGTGTGTGGTCTTTACCACTGTCAGAAAGAAACGCAACAGGGTCTTCCCAGTCTGGAATCTTTTGTGGTACGGTAATGGTTGTGACCCGTGGCTCTGAGGACACTGGTTCGTTTTGAAGGTACTTCGTTTCCGTTTCCATACTCACGGCTGACGATGGTGTTCTTCGAATCTACCTCACTCACGCCCTGTGAGGCCGTCCTCAAACTGGTAAGAGGCCTATCCAGTTTGGTGAGAATTAAACATGTTGATGGATCTCTAGAATTGTTTTTAGATGCATCTAAAATCAAACTAGATGTACATGACTCTGATGTGTCTATCTTCGTGTGCTCTGTTTGAGTGAGTCTTTGTTCTGAGACTGCTTCATCTTCAGTGAGGCCACTGAAGGGAATCAAATGCTCACGAAGTACTCCCTGGGAAATGGTGTCTTTCTTTAGCATCAAACCCTGAAGTTTGTCGACACTTGAAATTTTCTGGTTATAACTAGGCACGAGGTCTTCATCAGAATAGTCCACCAGTGTCGTAATATTACTGATATATGCTTGGTTATCGAGCTCCCCATTCAATTTTTTTTTTATTGAAAAATATTCAGGATTATTCGATGACGTATTGCATAGTTTTTGTTGAGGTTTCGACTCGTTTAATTTGTCAAAGAAAGAAACAGATAATGATTCTGGTTCTTGTTGGCCATTACTCTGGAGATCAGACACAGCTACAGCCTCAAGAATTTCGTCTTTCAGGTAAAGATAGGAATTGCAGTCTTTGGCGACTTTCTCCACCAATGTGTCATTACAATTAATAATGGTGGTATCATATTGATTGTCATATACAAGGTCACTCTCCGGTATATCTGATTTCCCTCCCAATCTGTTAACTGTAGCATCTCGCTGAAAGCCGCACTCCACCGCACTTCTGTCAGTTAATGATGATACCAGGGGTTCCCTGGAAGTCCTGTTACAACAGCCTTGGGGCTCAGAAAATAAGAATGATTTTTCTAGTTGATTTGAAAATGAGGATGTCTCGTCCCGGAGTTTTGACACAATTCTAAACTCATTATTATTAATGCTTTCATATGCAGTTGACTCGTCCAGAATGAGTGGAGGGATACCTGAGTCCTTCAAAAAGTGTTCAGGGATTCCTGATTTCTTCAAATTAATTAAACATGCATGTGATTCTTTATCAGTCAACGTTGATAGTTGCAAGAGAGTGTCAGGAGCAGCTGACTTCCCTGCTTGGTGGTCAAGATGTGCTGTTTCTTGACTCTCATCAAAAACTGCTGTCTCTTGAACATGTTGATGGGAAACTTCCTTACCATCATCACGATTGTTATAATGATTATTATTATTATTTTCCGGCTTTTTTAGACAAGTGATAGGCTTCCTGTTAGTGTTATCTTTTGAACTTACTAGTTCTTTCCATACCTCACCACTCTGACTGATGGGTAGAACTGACTCTTCCTGAAGGTGAGAGACAGTTGTGAGTGATTCCTTCAGTTGATCACCAGGTTGGGTTACCCGCTGAAGAGTCTCTGGAGGTTTACAGGGATCTTCTCTACGCTGCTCCACATACTGCTTCTGAAGCTCATCTGCAAGCATGATGAGTCCCAGTTGTTGGTCACTGACTTCGTTCATCTCTTCCAAAAGTTCATTAAACTGTGTGAATGATGTTTTCTGAGACCTAATCTTTGTGTTTTCTTTCTTTCCTGCTGTATTGAATTGTTCTTTATTTTCACTGATGCAGTTTATGTTAGAGGGGAGGAATAAGGTGTTTTCATGTGTTTCTGAAGACAATATTTGTAGCTCTCTAAGCTTAGTATCGGAAGTTGTAGCTCCATGTTGTGAATGGGGGACTGACGCCGAGACTTGTTCTTCAGCTGACTCACAAACAAGCTCGACCATTTTTGACTGTGTGTTCTCAGGCAACACTAAGACAGTATCAACATTTGATGTTTCCTTCAGTGTTGAGCCATTCACTTCTATACTGTTAAAGCGCTGCGCCAAGCTTTGCACCTTTCCCCTCGGCACAACATCCTTTGGTTCTGGCTCTGCTTCATGTAAAATCTTATGTTCTTGATCATCTGAGAATAACTTAAGGTTAATATTAGGGTCTTTTGCAGTTTCGGGTGAGTTATTTACTTTGGCTGGCGGTGCGTCTCGGTAGTGTTTATTGAGAAGCTGTACAGATCTCTGCATGCCTTCGATCTCTCTCTCCATGTTCTCCAGAGTCTGAACAAGCTTTTGTGACTTTTTCTGCAATTGAAATTCTCCTGGAGTTAGTAAAGCACTTTCTAGCACGAGTCCGGGATGCATCGTTGCAGAATAGTGAGAAAATTCATTGACTGCTGCGTCTGAGAAATCTGATGCTAGTTCTGTCTTATCACCTGATGAGTCTAAGATAATCGTGCTGTCTTCCACATCCTGCTTCTCATGTACCTCTATTTGCGATACTAAATATTTAGCATTATCAGATACGCCGCTTTTCTCATCAAAAAGATTAGAATTTCTATCTCTATCTGACAGTAAGTTGTTGTTCATAGAACTTTTCTGTGTACTAGGACTCACAGCATTAAGGATTTCAAAAGAATGCAGTTCCTCTCTTGCAGGACTCGAGTCTATTTTCAGTTGAGTCGAGAAATCTGTATTGACCACAGCGGCTGAATTAAGTGTTGGGTCAGTTACCAATAGATCTCTGTCTTCGCTCTCAAAGATAAACATCTTTAGTTTATGAGATAATGAACTTTGTGTTTCTGTCTTTGAGGACCTTGGTGGTTCTCTCTGTGAGGAGCTTTGTCTTGTAATCTGTGACATGTAGCTTGGTGCTCCTTCCTGCGACAAGGACCTTGAAGTTTCTCTCTGTGATAGGGAACTTAATGTTCTTTTCTGTGAAAAGGAGCTTGGTGTTCCGTCTTCTGATAAGGAGCCTGGTGCTTCTCCCTGCAATAAGGGACTCTGTGCTTCACTCAGTGAAAAGGATCTTGGTGTTCCTCCCTGCAATAAGGAACTCTGTTTTCCCCTTTGTGACAAGAAGTTTGGTGCTCCTCTCTGCGTGCCCACACAGCTGGTCTCAAACACCGACCTCAGACGAGATACACTCTGGTCTACCTCGAGGACGTCCATGCCTGGTTTCACATTAAGTGACTTTGTTCTGGGAATCAGTGCACTCCTGCTCTGAAGCGTCTGCAGTGTTGGCGACACACTTCTCTGTGGCAGCTGTTTGGGCTGCACCGATCTAAAGAGTTTATTGAATTTAACTAAATTTTTTACTCTGCCTTTGTGTGAGGTAATGCTTTCTGAGTCCCCAGATTCTCGTGAATCTTCAGACTGTGAGTCCATTCTAAATTGGCTCAGGAGATCCATATTTGGGGATATCATTGGAATCATGACGTCCTTTTTGGAAGATGTCGCTTTTACCACATTTTCCGCACCAGATTTGTTTTGGTTTGTCATTGTAGCCATAGTTTGTGGAACGAGCGAAGTTTTAGGCTTCATGTCTGATATCAGTTTCCTTTCATCTCCTAAGTTTTCTGTCTGATTCTTGATACTGGAACGTGAGGCTCTGAGGTCTGGAAATAGGGATGGTTTATTTTCATAATTTCCATTCCTGTCTTCTGCCTTAATTGAAGTCTCATATTTCTGAAGGTAGGAAATTTCTTCCAGGGATCTGGTTTCGAACATAGAACGGAATCTGGCCACAGGTCCAGGCGTGGTACGTTTCGTCCCTGAACGATCAAAACCTTTTGTGTCTCGTGGCTCTTCACTAGCCATCTCGACTGGGACAAAATAATAATCTTTTGAGTTTCTATTTTCTAATGTCGTCTCAAAAAGAAGCTGTGTTTGAGCTGTATTGCATTGTATTGCTTCACGAGAAATGCTGAACTCGCTTGGGTTACTCAACTCAAGGGTTGATGGAGGGTCGATTCCCCGTTCACTGATCGTTGTCTGGTCTATGACAAGTGAGGCTGCTGGTGTTTGAGATACTTCGGCAGAAGCAATGAGGGCCACTTCCTCAGACATCGGTGACGGAGGTTGGCTAGACGAGGACTGCGAGTTCGCGCAGTTCGCTGCATGGTCGTGCTGCATGTGGCCGCTGTGATCACAAAGACCAGATGCCTTCAAGAACGCAGTAGATATGTCATCATCTCTCATATTGATTTCAAAGTTTGTTCCCAAGCTGCAGCGCCTAACATGTGGTAGGCCGAGTGACTCGTTACTAGACTTCTTAGTCGGTGACCGTCCAAGACAAAGACTTTTGTCTGTGGAAATAAATTCAGCTTTGTGTGGCTGGCCTCTCAAAGCCTTAAACTGGTCTTTGACATCTTTCCCTGCCTCCAGTTGGTCCTTGATGTCTAGCGTCACCTCCAGCTGGTACTTGACGTCCGTCGCCGCCTGCAGCTGATCTTCACTGACTTTTGCCACCAAGTGGTCCCCAACAACTTCTGATACAGACATTTCATCTTTCCTAGGCAACAAACATTCCTTCATAACTTCGTCTTTTTCCTTGGAACTTTTTTGGGATGCACTGGCCTCACCCACTACACAGTCTTGATCTTGAACTAACATATGATTGTGCTCGGCTAATTTTTGCGCAGCTTGCAGCAGCAGCTCTTCAGTGGTCTGTCTCTGGTCTCTTTTAGTCTGTTGTATTTTTGCAGTGGTATACGGCAGGCTCTCAGTGGTGTGTAGATGAGCCTTGGACGTCATGACCAGGTTCTCAGTGCTGCATGATAAGTCTTCACTGGCCCCGTAAGGTTCAGCTATAATTTTAGGTAGTTCATCCTCATTTACAGCCCTGCAATATTTCGCTGTTTCTATAGACGAATCGCTGATCATTTTATTCTGAACCATCATGTCACTAACGACTCCGGTTACCCCGGTCTTTGATTCCATCGGGTATGTGACCTTTCCCAGCTCCACATTTGATCCAGTTAGCTTAGTGTTCAAATCAGATATATGTGCACTCTCTTCATGTAACTCTTCGCAAAGTTCCAGCTCAGATGCACATCTGTTATCATCATTGACAGAGCTGGGCTCAGTTTCCTCGTCGATCGTTTGAAGATAGTCCATGTCAGAGGTGGCCTCGAGGTCAGCTGGTGCCAGTATTGATCTACTCTTTGCTTCATTGTCCATCATTGTCGTTCTGGATTCTTCCATGGCTCTGGACTTCACAGTTATTGCTGCAGACTCTACCAACTTTGATCTACTCTTTGATTCACTCTCTGCTTTCGGTGTTTTGGACTCCTCATGGATGACCACTTCGGGAATAAGCAGAGGTCTTCGTCTATAGCTACAAAAATTATCCTCGTTTTTGAAACACTTTTGCTACTGGCTCTGATTCATCAGCATCCTTAAGTAGCTCGGAAATGTGTTTGTTTTCCCCGTAAGTATCTTCCTGAGTGGTGAGAGAAACGCTGAAGTTGACGCCTTGAGTGTTAATGAGAGTTTCCAGCACGTCGCCGCTAGCTGCTTCACCGTTCTGGACACACCTCATAGCCTCCTCTACTGGCAAATCTTCAGATCTGGTGTCCGTCGTGGACAGAGATGGCTCACACACATCGCTTAAGTTGGAAGCCATGATTTGTGAAGCAATTTCAACTGTTCTAAGAGCCTCCTCCTTTGAACCGTACTTTATGATAAAGTCACAGCTGTTAATGATGTCAGTGGGCGTCTCATCCAGCAGTCTGGATGAATCCTCTTCCATGCTGTCCAATGTGACTTTCTTTCTTCTTCCAGACTCGTCGTTTTCAACACCGACCTTAGGAACATATAGTTCTGTGTTCTCTTCAGTCTCCTTGTATGAGATGCTTGGTATACTTCCCTGCAATGTTTCTACTTCCCTAGACCTGACTTGCACATCTTGCTCTTGAAAATCATGTGAGTTTTCATCAGCATCATATATATCTTTATTCTGATGTAATTTCAACATATCTTTTGCTTTGTTATCAGTATCTTGCCTATTTTCAGAATATACGAATCTATTTGACGTGTTTTGTGATGAATTAATATCGTCTACGATGGAACTTCGTAAAACATCTTTACTTTCATGTTTTACCTCTGTCAAATTAGTCAAGATATCAGAAGACAACGTTAATTCCTGGATGCCTGTGCTAAGGTCCTTTTCTCTCGTTACTGATTCTGCTGGAGACCCCTGATGACACTCCTCTTTCTCCTCCAGTGACTTTTCTTCACCCATAACCTCCTTGTGGGCATGACTGACACAGTCCAACTGCTGCATCAACATGTCAGCTTGAGATTTACACGAAAAGATACCAGGCAACAAGGGCACTTTACCGTCCGCATGCTGGGAGTTCCTTCTGGAGGCTGAAGTGGAGGTTGAAGGACTGAGGAAGCAGCTACTCTGTCCCTCCTCCAGACTATCCAGCGAAGTGGTCCTCATCTTGCGGAACGCCTGCAAGAACCACACCAGTTACATGGCCATAAAAAATGACTCGCGAAATCATGACAAGACTGTAAATAACTGCCATAATTTTTAAAGAGGTGGAAGGGTAAGCCAGTGGAAGGCCTCGGTCAGATGACCATAAACCCCAGCTGCGGGTCATCATATGACTAAGACCCGCGTCAGGAAACACTTGTCCTGTTCCCTGACGAACCATGTCTAACCTAACCTGTAAATAATTCACCGGTTTATACCCAGTTGATAATACACAGACCTGCTAGTTCTAAGCCAGTCTTGCCCTGGGTTTAAGCTGTGTTCAGCGAGACGTGAATAACAAAGCTGTGTTATTCAGTCTTATTCATAAATACGACAAGCAAATATAACTGTCATTAAATATAGCAATAACCTTAAGCAAGGGTGTGTCCCATAACAGTGTGTGCCTACTGGGGTCGAGTTTCAGCTCCTCGCCCCGCCTCAAAACTACTCGCAAGCCCTCCCATTCAATTCCTGGCGTCATGGGCAGTATCATACCTACTCTTAAAACTGCGTATGGTGTCTGGTTAATTACATAGTAACAAGAACAGAAAAAAACGTACGTTACAAGCCTGGAAGGATCGTCCGATGCTCTCGTCTCCTTGAAGAACCACGTCCTCGTCTCCGACGTGTACAACACGACGTACTACACGGCGACGCAGGATGTTCACGAACCTGTGGGAACCACAATGCTGCACTGGTTTTTATTTGCTGATCTTATTCATAATAAGATATAGAGGGAAGGCAGACCATCCACAAGAAGACTGCTACGGTCTTCACTTCTGCATTATAACTTATTCTATTTTCTTGAGTTAATGTCGTAAAACACACCTATGTAACAATGAGAAGCAACTAGAGAAAAAAAATTAACTACAGGTTAAAACACATTTGTATATTTTGATCTGACTCGAAGATCATCTTTGGATCCTAGTATACAAATATTTCACTTGTGTTTCAGTTCTTAACCAGTTTATTACACTATTCTACGTCTTTGTTTTGTCTGATGTAGGTGGATGACGAGCCAGAGGTTTACCTGAGTGCTCCGGCCTTGGCTCTGTAGGAGAGGATAGATGAGTCATCCTTGTGTAAGGAGCTTCTCCTGCTGGTACTGACGGGGGTAGCAATCTCAGCCTCAGCGTCACTTTCCTGCAGAGGTCGCAGCAGTTGACACTTGCGCCCCGGCGAGTTGTGCTGACCGCATGGAGACAGAGGTTAGGTCATGAGGTCACGGGATAAGAACAAAATAGCACATCATAAGACAGACACGGGATAACAGCTGACATTCAACACACGGAAACTTAGCTGTGTTAATACACTTGTATCAAAATTCTTTAACTTGGTTTAGGTAAGATAAGATTTCGTTCGGATTTTTAACCCCGGAGGTTAGCCACCCAGGATAACCCAAGAAAGTCAGCGCGTCATCGAGGACTGTCTAACTTATTTCCATTGGGGTCCTTAATCTTGTCCCCCAGGATGCGACCCACACCAGTCGACTAACACCCAGGTACCTATTTGCTGCTAGGTGAACAGGACAACAGGTGTAAGGAAACGTGTCGGAATGTTTCCACCCGCCGGGAATCGAACCCGGGCCCTCCGTGTGTGAAGCGGGAGCTTTAGCCACCAGGCCACCGGGCCACCGGGCCAATGGTACTAATGTAGTAAGTTAAAGAGTCAATAGAAGTGAAGGATACAAATGCATTATGTATTCTAAAGTGGAGGATAAATTAAGTCCATCTACTACACATAAGAAAGAAGGAACACTGCAACAGACCTACTGACCCATGTGAAACAGGTCCATGCCATTCCCCCGGCCTAGAACAATGACCACCTAGTCAGGTCACTTCCACTTAAGGAAAGAGCACGGCACCAGACCAGGTAGCCCAAGCTAGTCAGATCCAACTCACACCCACTCATGTATTTATCCATCACGTGGATCATTAAGACAAAAAAATCTCTAATTCTTAAAATGGGATTAAAGTCTTCGCTGTCAGTGTTTACACACACTGACAGCTATACACCTCTCATTGTATACACGATGAGAGATAAACACCTCTTGGTGTATACAGAGATATACATCTCTCTACATCTACAGCCTCTTTCTCTCAGAGGCTACAAGAACATATACAATAAGGTAAGTATACTCGCTCCTACGATGAAGAGGATTTATAGAATTCAATCAATGCCAGAGATAAATTATTTGGAACTATTACTAACTGCATAAATATACAAAATCTTGTGGAGTACTTACAAGCATGGTAAGATAGCCTCAGAAACATGATTTAGGTAGATATACACGTAAACACTGCTTTTTGTGTGTTGTTCCAGCCAAGTTGTTGTGATTTGTTGTTCTTTATGATTTGGGGAAGCACTGTGGTAATAATAAAGTTGATTGGAAAAGTGGAAAAGCACTAAGCCCGTAGGGTTCGCACCTCACTTGGAGTATAAGTGGTAATAAGGGTAATTAGGTGATCAGTCCCAAAAACGTCGTGAAAAGTGGGAGGGTGGCAGAGTATAAGTAGTAATAAGGGTAATTAAAAGATGATCAGTCCCTCAACAACATCATGAAGAGTGGGAAGGTAATTATGAGTTATAAGGGGGACTAATTAAAAATAAATTTCCATGAGTAACTAACCTGAGACTCGTCAACGAGAACGCTGTAAGGAGACCCCACTACGTGTTGTCCTCGCCAGATGATAGCCAGGGAGTGTCGAGCATGCTGGAGAGGGACCCACGCTACACGCACCTCACAGCCACTCAGCTCATACTCCAGCGGGATGTTATGGCGACCCTGTACCAGCCACACAGGAGGCAAGAAAAGATGGATCTTATGTTTCAGAAGTCGATCCCTCTGACAACACTACTAACACCTGAGACGTGGATCATTCAGTGTCAGGAGTGTCGAGAACTCGATTTTCAGCTCCCAGGAACCAACACTTAGGATGAAGGGACCCCAAGATAATACAGGAAGTCCTCACTTAACGTCGTTGATAGGTTCTTGGAAACTGCGACTTTAAGCAAAAGACGTATAACGAAACCAATTTTACCACAGGCTAAGTTGCTAGGGAAAGTTGCTAGGGAAAGGCAGAGCTGAGAGGGAAGGCAGTATTGCTGCAAACGCCATGACTATGGAGTATGTCGCTCTGGGGCGCTATGAAGTCATGTATGTATTTACTTTATTATTGACATTTTTATTATTTTAGGTATCACATGTTTTTCAGAATTACATAACAAACACGCTATATATCATAAAAAATGAATACAGACAGCCGTGAAGAAGGAAATTGATATAAAAGTTAGGTCGATGCATGTCCTCCATCCAGATATTTAAGTCTTTCCATATTTTTCACTCCAGGCCATAAATTGATTTCTTTTTCTCATCAACGTTATAACAAAACGACGTTGAATGAAAGGACGTTAAGCGAGGACTCCCTGTATTAAAATACATAATTAGGTTCCAACCTGATTGTGCACCTCAAGATCAGGTCCTAAGGACCTCCTCACCCTAAGGTTGTCCTTGGCAACGTATGTCGACCTGGAGGGCGAGCGGTGGGTGATGCGGTGGCTACAGTAGTCGTTACGGTCGTTCTTCACCTCCACTACTAGGTCGAGCTCCAAGGAACTGCTAAGGTAGAGTGTGAACCTCGCCCTCCGTCCCACAACACCCATCTGAAGACCCATTCCCCTGGCGATTACCTGAAGCAAGAATAACAGCAATTATGGAACTTCAGTGATGTGTGAAGAGATGAACCAGTCGGATAAGGAACTGACCTACCTACTTACAATCTACCTACTTACAATCTACCTACTTACAATCTACCTACTTACAGTCTATCTACTTACAGCCTACCTACCTACAGTCTACCTGTAGGCTACCTACAGTCTACCTAGTCTACCTATTGGCTACCTAGTCTACTTGTAGGCTACCTACAGTCTATCTGTAGGTTACGTAGTCTACCTGTAGGCTACCTACAGTCTACCTGGAGTCAACAGGTAGACTATCGCCCCAGCAGCTCGCTCCCAGGCTAGGCAAGTTTTAACAAACACCTTCAAGAGTAGGTATGATTAGGCTGGAGTGTCGCAGATAGAGATCATTAGTGTGTGGTCACCTAGTTATGGTTACTGGGGTTGAGTTTCATCACCTGGCCCTGCCTCTCATGTACTCACGATCACACACTATCCTGGCGTCATGAGACCCCTAGTCACCTAGTTATGGTTACTGGGGTTGAGTTTCAGCACCTGGCCCTGCCTCTCAGGTACTCACGATCACACACTATCCTGGCCTCATGAGACCCCAACATACGTGCTATTAAAACAGTGGAGACATCTTCCTCAACCACTTTCACTTACTACACCATCCTCAAACTGAGGAAATACTCAGATGTATTTACCATTAGGCCTTGTTGATTTGCTAGGCTTAAAGTTTATCTACTACACGAGGGTCGTTAAGGCTGTTTGTCACCTGTACACAACCAGTTTAGAATACTTTAATTCCTAAAATATGGATTAACGTCAAGGCGGTTAGTTGAATTTAAAGACTGTGCACTGTTCACTACCAGTCAATAATACGCTAATCACTAAAATAGAAATTTAGGTCAACTCTCTGTTTATACAGTGAGGTCACTAGTGAGGTCACTATTATTACAATCAAAACTAGGTGCTACACCCACAAGGGTCATACATACATAAGATCAGTTCAAGGGAAAGATCTTCCTGGATTTCTTACTGATTTCTGGAACACTACAAGCTTATAACGTGTTGATTGCAACACGAAAGGCCTAGAACTATCATGCAACTCCCCCCGGGGTTGTTTTGCAATAATATATAGTATATATTATATATATAATATATATAATATATATATATATATATATATATATATATATATATTTTATAAATATACAGAGAGAGAGAGAGAGAGTAATACAGTCTTCTCACATCATGTTCATGGTGAAAGCGGTAAATCCGTAAGGGTTATATAGAACCTGGAGGGGGGGGGGAATGGGAGGTAATCAGATTTAACCCAACGGGAGAGCAGCTTAGATTCCTCGAATCAAAAATCCCTTGTACGCACCTGGTGAGAGCCGAGTGTTTGTGCGACAGCCTGAGGTGTGACAGGTGGACCACCCAGCACCTGTCTCCTGAGGGCGGCGTACCTGATTCCTCGTAGGAACTGCACCAGCACCGCCCGTCCTCCCGCACCATCCCCAACTTTACCGAGGTCCTGCGGAAGTAACAGTCCTACACCGCTCCAGTGAAGGGTAGGCTGTGATAACACTAAGTGAAGGGTAGGCTGTGATAACACTAAGTGAAGGGTAGGCTGTGATAACACTAAGTGAAGGGTAGGCTGTGATAACACTAAGTGAAGGGTAGGCTGTGATAACACTAAGTGAAGGGTAGACTGTGATAACACAAGTGAAGGGGAGGCTGTGATAACACTAAGTGAAGGTAGGCTGTGATAACACTAAGTGAAGGGTAGGCTGTGATAACACTAAGTGAAGGGTAGGCTGTGATAACACTAAGTGAAGGGTATGCTGTGATAACACTAAGTGAAGGGTATGCTGTGATAACACTAAGTGAAGGGTAGACTGTGATAACACTAAGTGAAGGGTAGACTGTGATAACACTAAGTGAAGGGTAGACTGTGATAACACTAAGTGAAGGGTAGACTGTGATAACACTAAGTGAAGGGTAGGTTGTGATAACACTAAGTGAAGGGTAGGTGTGATAACACAAGTGAAGGGGAGGCTGGATAACACTAAGTGAAGGGTAGACTGTGATAACACTAAGTAAGGGTAGACTGTGATAACACTAAGTGAAGGGTAGGCTGCGATAACACTAAGTGAAGGGTATGCTGTGATAACACTAAGTGAAGGGTAGGCTGCGATAACACTAAGTGAAGGGTAGACTGTGATAACACTAAGTGAAGGGTAGGTTGTGATAACACTAAGTGAAGGGTAGGTTGTGATAACACTAAGTGAAGGGTAGACTGTGATAACACTAAGTGAAGGGTAGACTGTGATAACACTAAGTGAAGGGTAGGTTGTGATAACACTAAGTGAAGGGTAGGCTGTGATAACACTAAGTGAAGGGTAGGTTGTGATAACACTAAGTGAAGGGTAGACTGTGATAACACTAAGTGAAGGGTAGACTGTGATAACACTAAGTGAAGGGTAGACTGTGATAACACTAAGTGAAGGGTAGACTGTGATAACACTAAGTGAAGGGTAGGTTGTGATAACACTAAGTGAAGGGTAGACTGTGATAACACTAAGTGAAGGTAGACTGTGAAACACTAAGTGAAGGGGAGGTTGTGATAACACTAAGTGAAGGGTAGACTGTGATAACACTAAGTGAAGGGTAGGTTGTGAAAAACTAAGTGAAGGGTAGACTGTGATAACACTAAGTGAAGGGTAGGCTGTGATAACACTAAGTGAAGGGTAGGCTGTGATAACACTAAGTGAAGGGTAACTGTGATAACACTAAGTGAAAGGGTAGGGGTTTTGATAACACAAGTGAAGGGGAGGCTGTGATAACACTAATTTAAGGTAAGGCTGTTAAAACACTAAGTGAAGGGTAGGCTGCGATAACACTAAGTGAAGGGGAGCTGTGAATAACACTAAGTGAAGGGTTGGCTGTGATAACACTAAGTGAAGGGTAGTGTGATAATACTAAGTGAAGGGATAGCTGTGATAACACTGAGTGAAGGGTAGGCTGTGATAACACTAAGTGAAGGGTAGACTGTGATAACACTAAGTGAAGGGTAGACTGTGATAACACTAAGTGAAGGGTAGGTTGTGATAACACTAAGTGAAGGGTAGACTGTGATAACACTAAGTGAAGGTAGGTTTTATAACAAATAAGTGAAGGGAGAAATGTGATAAAAACTAAGTGAAGGGGAGTTGTGATAACACTAAGTGAAGGGGAGACTGTGATAACACTAAGTGAAGGGGAGCTGGTGGGTAACACTAAGTAAGGGTAGGTGTGATAACACTAATGAAGGGTAGACTGTGATAACACTAAGTGAAGGGTAACTGTTTATAACCCCTAAGTGAAGGGTAGACTGTGATAAAAACTAAGAAGGGTAACTGTGGATAACACTAAGTGAAGGGTAGGTTTTGATAACACTAAGTGAAGGGTAGGTTGTGATAACACCTAATTTAAGGGTAGACTGTGATAACACTAAGTGAAGGGTAGACTGTGATAACACTAAGTGAAGGTAGGTTGTGATAACACTAAGTGAAGGGTAGCTGTGATAACACTAAGTGAAGGGTAACTGTGGGTAACACTAAAGTGAAGGGTTAGTTGTGATAACACTAAGTGAAGGTAGACTGTGATAACACTAAGTGAAGGGTAGGTTGTGATAACACAAGTGAAGGGTAGGCTGTGATAACACTAATGGGAAAGGGGAAGGGGTGTGATAACACTAAAATGAAGGGTAGGTTGTGATAACACTAAGTGAAGGGTAGACTGTGATAACACTAAGTGAAGGGTAGGCTGTGATAACACTAAGTGAAGGGGAGGTTGTGATAACCCCTAAGTGAAGGTAGACTGTGATAACACTAAGTGAAGGGTAGGTTGTGAAACACTAAGTGAAGGGTAACTGTGATAACACTAAGTGAAGGTAGGCTGTGATAACACAAGTGAAGGGTAGGGTTTTGATAACACTAAGTGAAGGGAAAACTGTGATAACACTAATGAAGGGTAGACTTTTGATAACACTAAGTGAAAAGGGTTTGACTGTGATAACACTAAGTGAAGGGTAGGTTTTTGGGTAACACTAAGTGAAGGGTAGGCTGTGATAACACTAAGTGAAGGGTAGGTTGGTGATAACACTAAGTGAAGGGTAACTGTGATAACATAAGTGAAGGGTAAAACTGTGATAACACTAAGTTGAAAGGGTAGGTTGTGATAACACTAAGTGAAGGGTAGGCTGTGATAACACTAAGTGAAAGGTAGGTTGTGATAACACTAAGTGAAAGGTAGGTTGTGATAACACTAAGTGAAAGGTAGGCTGTGATAACACTAAGTGAAGGGTAGGTTGTGATAACACTAATTTAAGGGTAGACTGTATAACACTAAGTGAAGGGTAGACGTTTATAACACTAAGTGAAGGGTAGACTGGGGATAACACTAATGAAGGGTAGGGCTGTGAAACACTAAGTGAAGGGTAGACTGTGATAACACTAAGTGAAGGGGAGGCTGTGATAACACTAAGTGAAGGGTAGGTTTGGGTAACACTAAGTGAAGGGTAGACTGTGATAACACTAAGTGAAGGGTAGACTGTGATAACACTAAGTGAAGGGTAGACTGTGATAACACTAAGTGAAGGGTAGGTTGTGATAACACTAAGTGAAGGGTAGCTGTGATAACACTAAGTGAAGGGTAGGTTTGTGATAACACTAAGTGAAGGGGAGACTGTGAAACAAGTGAAGGTAAGACTGTGATAACACTAAGTGAAGGGGAGGTTGTGATAACACTAAGTGAAGGGAAGGCGTGATAACACTAAGTGAAAGGTAGTTGTGATAACACTAAGTGAAAGGTAGGTTTTTGATAAACTAAGTGAAAGGTAGGCTGTGATAACACTAAAATGAAGGTAGGTGTGATAACACTAAGTGAAGGGTAGACTGTGATAACACTAAGTGAAGGGTAGACTGTGATAACACTAAGTGAAGGATAGACTGTGATAACACTAAGTAAGGGTAACGTGATAACACTAAGTGAAGGGGAGGTGTGATAACACTAATGAAGGGTAGGCGTGATAACACTAAGTGAAGGGTAGACTGTGATAACACTAAGTGAAGGGTAGGGCTGTGATAAACAAATAAGTGAAGGGAAGACTGTGATAACACTAAGTAAGGGTAGACTGTGATAACACTAAGTGAAGGGTAGACTGTGATAACACTAAGTGAAGGGTAGACTGTGATAACACTAAGTGAAGGGTAGACTGTGATAACACTAAGTGAAGGGTAGACTGTGATAACACTAAGTGAAGGGTAGCTGTATAACACTAAGTGAAGGGAGCTGGGGATAACACTAAGTGAAGGGTAACTGTGATAACACAAGTGAAGGGTAGACGTGATAACCCAAGTGAAGGGTAGACTGTGATAACACTAAGTGAAGGGTAGACTGTGATAACACTAAGTGAAGGGTAGACTGTGATAACACTAAGTGAAGGGTAGACTGTGATAACACTAAGTGAAGGGTAGACTGTGATAACACTAAGGAAGGTAGACTGATAACACTAAGTGAAGGGTAGACTGTGATAACACTAAGTGAAGGGTAGACTGTGATAACACTCAGTGAAGGGTAGACAGTGATAACACTAAGTGAAGGGTAGACTGTGATAACACTAAGTGAAGGGTAGACTGTGATAACACTAAGTGAAGGGTAGACTGTGATAACACTAAGTGAAGGGTAGACTGTGATAACACTAAGTGAAGGGTAGACTGTGATAACACTAAGTGAAGGGTAGACTGTGATAACACTAAGTGAAGGGTAGATGTGATAACACTAAGTGAAGGGTAGCTGTGAAACACTAAGTGAAGGGTAGACTGTGATAACACTAAGTGAAGGGTAGACTGTGATAACACTAAGTGAAGGGTAGACTGTGATAACACTAAGTGAAAAGGGTAGACTGTGAAAAACACTAAGTGAAGGGTAGACTGTGATAACACTAAGTGAAGGGTAACTGTGATAAACACTAAGTGAAGGGTAGACTGTGATAACACTAAGTGAAGGGTAGACTGTGATAACACTAAGTGAAGGGTAGACTCTGATAACACTAAGTGAAGGGTAGACTCTGATAACACTAAGTGAAGGGTAGACTCTGATAACACTAAGTGAAGGGTAGACTCTGATAACATCATTTGCTTATCCAGGAATGAGAATGATAAGTCTTGGGCGAGTTGCTTGCCCATAATGTGTTAAAAGTGAATCATGTAAGGGCCAGGAGGAGGAGGAGGAGAAAGAGGGAAAGGAGGAAGAGGAGGAGCAGAAACAGGAGGAGAAGAAAGAGGAAGAGGAGAAAAGAGGTGCCACGTGACCTAACAAGATCAGTAGGTTATTATGTATACACACTTGCCAACCCTGAAGTGCTTCCATAACAAAAGACAGTCTCCCCCTCACCCCATTACCCCCCTCATCATACCCCCTCACCATCACCTCCACACCATCACCCCCCACCCCTCACCATCACCCCAACACCCCTTACTGCTCACCCAACACACAAAAACAAACTATCAGTACACAGACTAAGAATTGATTACAAAACATAATTAACCCGCAGGGAGACTGTAAATGGTCAGTCGGAGCGAAACGTCGTGGTGAGCTCCTCTCTCCTATGTGCGGGTCATTTGTGTTTTGTTCCAGTCATGGTATTATGGCCTTATTTTCGTTAATTACAAAATTAACATGAAAGTTAGCAAGTGAGTTGACTTAATATACTCACCAGAGGAGCCAAAGGACACAATACCCTGAGTGGAACAATACAGAAATAACCCGCACACAGAGGAGGAGCTTACGATGATGTTTCGCTCCCACGTGGACCATTTACAGAGTCACACTGTTAAAACGTTGGCGGGTTACCTTGTGGAAAAGACCCGGGCCGGGACCATACCTTCTCTGCTCAAACTTGTTAAAACGTACAGCACTTATTCAGAAATTCTCTCATACCGACTCACGAAATCGTAATGACGCTATTGTAAACAAGCCACGGTACGGGTGGGGATTGAACTCGTGGCTAGTGAGTCGTAAAACTCCAGGCCATCGTGTAAACCACTGGGCCAGCTGGCTACAATAAGATTCATCCAACTAGGTATATTTATACACCATAGAGAGGTTAGCACAGGCCACAACTGTGACCACAAATGCAAGTTTTACAGATGGATCTCCCGCCGTGTTTACTTCTACAAGGTATTCGAAACTAGCACCCAGAGGCCTCTCGTATTTTATTTCACCTTCGTCAGATTCACTCAGGGGTAATGCTAAGTGTAACTGCATGTACTCACCTATTTGAAGTTGCAGGGGTCGATTGATAGCTCCTGGCCCTGGCTCTTCGTTGGTATGTGTGTGTGTACCACCTTTTGTGGTTGCAGGGGTCGATATAGTTTCCTGGCCCGTTTGTGTTGTGTGTGTGTGTGTTGTTTTTTTCACTAATTTGGTTTGCAGGGTGGTCGGACCACTCCAGCTCCCGGGGCCCAGCCTTTGTGAGTGTGTGAGGGGTGCTTGTTTTCCCAGATTATTAGATACCTAATGCATGTATACTCACGTACCCTCCTACACACCTCCATCTACTCTCACATGTTCTTGTACTCCATTACACTACCATACTTCCATGTACTGACCTGTGTGACGCCAAGAAAATCACTAGCAAGCCTGGAGGCGATGCAGAGGTTAGCCTCAGGCTGGTCTGTTGGGAGGAGGTCGTGCCTGGGGCAGGTACCTGGCACCAGTGCCTCTAGCAAGCCACACAGGGTCACCCCGTCTGCCAGGTCGTGGTCCAGGTCACTCACGGGTCGTGAGGGCACTTTCTTCGTTAACCAGCGCACCAGGTCACTGTCCTTCTCCCATACTGGAATGACTGCATAAAGATACCAGGAAAATGGTGAAGGAAAGTCGAATTACGAGACACGATATTCTGTGAGAAACAACGTTATAGTGTGTTTGTGTGTGTGTGTGTGTGTGTGTGTGTGTACTCACCTAGTTGTACTTACCTAGTTGAGGTTGCAGGGGTCGAGTCCAAGCTCCTGGCCCCGCCTCTTCACTGGTCGCTACTAGGTCACTCTCTCTGAACCATGAGCTTTATCGTATCTCTGCTTAAAGCTATGTATGGATCCTGCCTCCACTACATCGCTTCCCAAACTATTCCACTTCCTGACTACTCTGTGGCTGAAGAAATACTTCCTAACATCCCTTTGATTCATCTGTGTCTTCAACTTCCAACTGTGTCCCCGTGTTGCTGTGTCCAGTCTCTGGAACATCCTGTCTTTGTCCACCTTGTCAATTCCTCTCAGTATTTTGTAAGTCGTTATCATGTCCCCCCTATCTCTCCTGTCCTCCAGTGTCGTCAGATTTATTTCCCTTAACCTCTCCTCATAGGACATACCTCTTAACTCTGGGACTAGTCTTGTTGCAAACCTTTGCACTTTCTCTAGTTTCTTTACATGCTTGGCTAGGTGTGGGTTCCAAACTGGTGCCGCATACTCCAATATGGGCCTAACGTACACGGTGTACAGGGTCCTGAACGATTCCTTATTAAGATGTCGGAATGCTGTTCTGAGGTTTGCCAGGCGCCCATATGCTGCGATAGTTATTTGGTTGATGTGTGCTTCAGGAGATGTGCCTAGTGTTATACTCACCCCAAGATCTTTTTCCTTGAGTGATGTTTGTAGTCTCTGGCCCCCTAGACTGTACTCCGTCTGCGGTCTTCTTTGCCCTTCCCCAATCCTCATGACTTTGCACTTGGTGGGATTGAACTCCAGGAGCCAGTTGCTGGACCAGGTCTGCAGCCTGTCCAGATCCCTTTGTAGTTCTGCCTGGTCTTCGATCGAATGAATTCTTCTCATCAACTTCACGTCATCTGCAAACAGGGACACTTCGGAGTCTATTCCTTCCGTCATGTCGTTCACAAATACCAGAAACAGCACTGGTCCTAGGACTGACCCCTGTGGGACCCCGCTGGTCACAGGTGCCCACTCTGACACCTCGCCACGTACCATGACTCGCTGCTGTCTTCCTGACAAGTATTCCCTGATCCAATGTAGTGCCTTCCCTGTTATCCCTGCTTGGTCCTCCAGTTTTTGCACTAATCTCTTGTGTGGAACTGTGTCAAACGCCTTCTTGCAGTCCAAGAAAATGCAATCCACCCACCCCTCTCTCTCTTGTCTTACTGCTGTCACCATGTCATAGAACTCCAGTAGGTTTGTGACACAGGATTTCCCGTCCCTGAAACCATGTTGGCTGCTGTTGATGAGATCGTTCCTTTCTAGGTGTTCCACCACTCTTCTCCTGATAATCTTCTCCATGATTTTGCATACTATACATGTCAGTGACACTGGACTGTAGTTTAATGCTTCATGTCTGTCTCCTTTTTTAAAGATTGGGACTACATTTGCTGTCTTCCATGCCTCAGGCAATCTCCCTGTTTCGATAGATGTATTGAATATTGTTGTTAGGGGTACACATAGCGCCTCTGCTCCCTCTCCTCCCTGTGTGTGTGTGTGTGTGTGTGGTGTGTGTGTGTGTGTGTGTGTGTGTGTGTGTGTGCTCATCTATCTATGGTTGCAGGGGTCGAGGCACAGCTCCTTTCCCCGCTTCATCGCTAAGCACTACTAGGTCCACTCCCTGCTCCAAGAGCCTTATCGTACCTTGTGTGTGTGTGTGTGTTGTCATAAGTGATAGTGCTGTTATTACTGTTAATGCTAATAAGATAACAGCTCTTAGCGTGTAGATGAGGTGAGATGAGATAACAGTTGTTATCTTGTACGTTAAGCTGTATATGAAAGAAATCTTCGAGGGTACCAGCAAGAGACTTCGGCAGGAGGGAACTATCACAGGGGATAATACTGGTAATATCAATCCCAGGGAGCTAATAGCCCAGGATAACCCAGGAAAGCCAAGTAGTGTGGCTTATTACCATCGTACACCTTCCTCCACCAGGATGCTACCCACAAACAGATGAGTAACACCCAGGTACATATTTCCTGCTAGGTGTACAGTAGCAGCAGGTGTAAGAAGCCTAACACTCAGGTACCTATTTACTGCTAGGTGAAAGGGACAACAGGTATTACGAGACTTACCCGTACGTCCCACCTCTCCCAGGGTTCGACCCCAGGTACTTTCGATTGTGAAAGGACTTACCTGTTCTGAAGTACATCCATGCAAGGGCCAGGTATGGGAGAAGGTGCGCCCACACTGATACCCAACACGACCATATCCACCATGCCCACGCCCACCATACCCACCCTGTGGAGAAGACCGGAACCAGAGCTCAGCATGCGATGAAATTAATATTTTACTCATGGGGAAGCGGTAAACCCACAGAGGTCATACAGCACCCAGGGAATGGGACGTAATCAGATTGCATCCAAGGGGAGAATAGCTCCAATTCCTTGAATCAAGAGCCTTTCATAAAGAAATAATTTGAAATGGCTTGGAACAGCAGTGCGTATAGTCACACACTCATGAGTCACAGGGATGTTAGGAAGTATTTATTTAGCCTTAGAGTTGTCAGTAAGTGGAATAATCTGGAGGGTGAAATAGTGGAGGTAGGCGAAGTGGCGGGGCCAGAAGCTATGAATCAACCCCTCCAACCACATATAACTGAGTACACACACACAAAATCTAGCAGCTAGCAAATTAAGATGCGGGGCCAGGAGCTAGGACTTGATCCCTGCAACCACGTACAGCTGAGTACAGTGTGGAAATAGAAATTGAGAGAACAGTTCAGGGAGCACGTAAAAACAGTCGTCAGACAGGAGAAAAATAGAGGGGGAGGGGGAGGGGGAAGCAAGAATAAGGAACATTAAGTTTCCAGAGGCTTCTCAAGGCTCACCCCCCCCCCCCACCACCTCCTAGTAGGCACACTGAAGTAAACACGTACTAACATACACCTCTAGTGCAAACTGTGGGACCTGTAGCCTCGGAGAAGTGGATAAAAAGACTTCGAGGAAAAATATTTGGATTTCTTCCTGAAGCCATTTGAATATTCCACTTCCCCTACCACCAGTAATGTATCTTTTAAGACTTGTGTACCATATTATGTAATTAAATGTACTTATTGGTAAAAGACAAAAAAAAATGAGGTCTACTTCCAGGTAGCAGGTAGACTCCATCTTATATCTACCAATAGGTATATTTGATTACATAATATGGCACACAAAACTTAAAAGATACATTGCTGCTACAAAGATGGCATATACAGTATATGAGGTTTAAGGGGTACATTTCAAGGACATATTGCTACGTGTTTGTCACAGGTTATATACATGGCGAAAATCTCATCCAGCTCCTCAAGAGTTGAGGAGCGTACCCAGGATACAGCAAGATACTTGTATATTATGCTAAGACCCGCGTCTTAGCATAACCTAACCTAACTTAACCTATATTATGACATCCATATTCCTCTTTCACTCCCCATCCATCCTTCCTATCTTTCCTCTGTCTCTTACGTATATTTTTTCTTCCTCTGGCCCTGGTATGGTGGAGATATCTCCATAAAAAATTCCATTTTTCATGTGAATGGGATAGATAATCCTGATAGATGGTAATTCCCGAGTGATAGTAACTCCAGCTCTGCTGGGAACTGTCGTAGCTATCACAAAGACAGCTGAAATGAAAACAAATGACATATTCCCATTTTTATACCAAACGAGGAAAGAAAGAAAACAGGGAAGAGAGGACTTGTACCTCTAATCACAAACCAGTGGAGTTTAGAAGAGAGGGGGACCAACAGAAATAAGCAGAGGACACAGCAGAGGACACAGCAGAGGACACAGCAGAGGACACAGCAGAGGACACAGCAGAGGACACAGCAGAGGACACAGCAGAGGACACAGCAGGTGTCATTAAGAATGGGTCGGGATACACCGAGAGGTGTTCTCTCAGCGTATATATGATGACACTTCAACCCCTATCTTAGGAATTAAGTATTTTTGTCTGGTGGTGAAAATATTACGTGAAGCCTTAATAATCCTCGGGAATCGAGTAATATTTAGGCTTTAAACCCAAAAACTAAGACTTAGGGACCCAAAGTTGTAGTAGCAGTGATTTAACCCCACCACCAAACAAAAGTAGATCAAGATCTCACCACCAAACAAAAGTAGATCAAAACCTCACCACCAAACAAAAGTAGATCAAAACCTCACCACCAAACAAAAGTAGATCAAAACCTCACCACCAAACAAAAGTAGATAAAACACCACCAAGCAAGAGTAGATCAACAACATAACACTGGAACCTACATGAAGCACTAAGACAAAGGCCATATGGAAAAATCTTGTGTCTGAACGTCAAGGACATGATAACTCTAAAAGTTTAATAAATAAATCTATTACAAATCTATTAATGTTTTAGAATCTATATTAATACGTCTATTACAAATCAGGGTGACAAGTACAATGAATAGATATTACGGTGTTGTTGTGAGTCATTAAGATTCACCTCGGCGGGTCGTTTTAGTAAGAGCCGCCATCTAGTCGTATTACAGGTCGTTGCTTCCCTCTGGGGTCCTTCTGGAGTCGTAGAAACAAGGTACGACCACACTACCTTCCTCCCTGACATGGGTCGTCAGGCCCTCCTAGTTTTCTCTCTCTCTTTTTCATCTTTTTTTCCCTCACTGAATCTCTCCTTCAGACACTTTCTACTTTCTCTTTTTATCATTTCTATCTCTCACAATGTTGCGTATTTTCTACTTTTTTTCAGCTTACTTTATGAAATATTTCATCTATATCTCTACATAATACACTAGACTTTTTTTTTAAAAACTATGCACGAATGAATTATTCCAATACTGAATAAGAGTTATCAATTACAGGGTTTTTTCAGTCATCATTTGTTAAGTGAATTATTTTTCTAGCCAAAGTTTAAATGATTCTGTTCTCTTCAAGGTTAAAGTGTCAATAAGCACTCTTAAAAATTATATTTTCCGTCAAGTAGCATTTTGGTTACAGTGATTTAGAATAAATAAGAGTCACTATATTACGTAGCTGGTGTCCCATTCTGTACTAATAATCCCAGTCACATTTTTCTAGTGGGTAAATGTCCTGTGTTCATCCCTTCGATTTCATATAGGGTGTTAATTTTGCAAACTGACGAGGCTGTAATGGTCCCTGAGAGGGTCTCCCGAGGCTCGTGATCTTCCTACCGCTGTGACAACCTGCAGAAAGAAGCCGAAGATTTTCTTGTCCAAGACGTGAGTCACATCCTCCCACCACACCTTAGGCTCCACTAAGACACACTTACCCTCACTTGTACTTCTTCATGTGTGACGCGCATGAAAGGTTGCCTAGCTAGGCCAGTCTGATTTAAAGTTTGCACAGTGAGGAGCGTTCCCTGGCAAGAATGATTGGTTGTTTAGCTTCCTTCTTGCGTCTAAGGTAAGAATGCTGGGTGCTTAGCTTTTAGCATTAAGAAACTTTGAACATTCGGCTGAATTCTTGAGTCCTTGTGATTAATAATTATGACTCAAGAAATCGTAATGACACGATTGCAAACAAACCATACCCCCGGCCGGGATTGAACCCGCGGTCATAGTCTCAAAACTCCAGCCCGTCGATATTTTTGTGATCCTCATTTTTTCTGACTATAGGTTCTAGTACTGTAATATCCGTCAATTTCGATCATTCACGTATTACCACCAATGATTCCAAGAGTTTTTCTTTATCCTAGTGGTTTCAAAGCCCTCAAGTTCCCGACGCTCCACAGACAGGATATATGTACTGAGGGATGTCTCTCAGTGTATATATACTGAGACATCCCTATTTTAGGGATTGTAGTATTTTTGGCTGGTGAACAGGTTACATGTAGCTTTAATGACCCTCGTGTAGTCAACAGGCTTAAAAACAAATTAACTAACCATCCACTTCTCATTATCTTAGTAGTTACCAAGAAAATGGGAGTTACTAACGATGTTTCGTTCTACACAAAGCTAAACGCTGTCCTAGTAAAAGCTTATTCTAAAATTTGTGTCCGCTAATCGCCACACAAATAATTTCACCATAGATCAGAGCTAGGGAGCTTCACTTGGGTGTGTAACTAGGTTGTGAGATAGTTCATATAAGACTTACAATGAAGCTTTAGACAATGTCTTTGATCCTGAGGATGGCTGCTGTCTGCGGCTCCTGTTTTTGATAACGCTCGGAGAGAAGAAAGCAAGAAAGCCCTTTTTGGAGTTAGGTAAGGGATTCAACACACAGCAGTTCTGGTTGATACCCCCCTCCTCCGGGCGAAACGTCTACAAATAAGTTATAACTGTGATAGAAGCACCAACGAGGAAATGCACCAGTTATCAGTAGTAAACATGGACCTTACGGATAAGCACTTGTATGTCAGAGAGAGCCTAAATAACATTTTCATTTTCATTTCACGATAGCTTTTCCACTTAAGTTTCTGCTACTCCTTCATTTCTTCTCACATGATACCTTTTCTCCACTTAGTTTCAGATACACTTATTTATGTAAGATGTCTCTTGAAGGGGCCAAAACAACGTTGGAGAGGAAGATTGTGGTGGTGAATGCGATCTTGTCAAGTGAGAAATGGATTACACAGGTGGTGGAGGTCGCAGCCTAGTAACTGCCCAGCTGCTGGTGTCAGTCTTGTTCTCACGTCCGCTCATCTTCTGTGGCTTCCTATTAGCTTAGCAGTATATAGCGTTCGGCTCACAATCGAAAGCACCTGGGTAAGAGCAAGTCTCCCTACGTCTGCTGTCCCTGTTCATTTGGCATTTTAGGGGTAGTAAGAAAGACCGAAAGAAAATAAGCCACACTGCTTGGTTTTCGTGGGTTAACCTGGGTAATTAAACTTGACCTAATCTTACCAGTTTTCTCTCCCCATTTATGGTAAATTTTGGAATGCACGTATCAACAATTTGGAATATCTTTTTATGAATCAAATAAATCCCCATCAGCTACACGACAACAGAATGTTGAGGCTTTATGGTGACTTATTATAGTTTCTATCAACATTATTCTACGTTTTTATAAGAAAATAAACGGGAAATACCACAGTGGCCTTTGTTCCTGTATCCCAACTCATTATGCTCATCAATTTATACGTTTCTGTCAACAACTTTACTTATATTAATAAATATTTTTTCGAAACCAGTGTACCATGATTAACTCACTTTTCACCCACCTAATCTCGCAAAAAAAAAAAAGAATATTATTATTATAATCAAGGGGGAAACGCTAAACCCAGAGGATTATACAGCGCCTGGGGGGGATGTGGAAGGCATTCAGGCTTAATTTGGGGAACTGGAGCACAGATCCAATTCCCTAAATCAAGAGCCCCTCACCAACATCAAGGAACCTTGCAAAGATTGCAACCAACGACATACAGAGCTGAGTGACCTGCTCCTACAGTCAGCAGATGTCGACTTTCTAAGTCGACTTACAACGTAAGAGCACAGGAAAGAAGGAACACTGAGGCAAGCCTAATGGCCCATGCTAGGTAGGTCCCCATTCCGATTTCTCCCCGTTAATGGAAACTATGTTGCCTGTCGATCAGCCATGAGGGTTGTTAGCTTGTGTGTTCAAGTTGACACCATGTATCACTCTGGACCAGACACTGGGGTTCTACTTGGAACAACGGAGTAAGCAACGCCAGTCATATGGCTTGGCTGCACCAGCAATCACATGCAAACTTAATTATGTCTCTTGTTTACACTTTTGGCCGCTGCTTCTCATGGAAGAAATAGCTCTCGACTGTGCCATTTTTTGATTCCAAGGGGGGGGGGGAGCCCCTTGATTTTGATAAAGGGCTTTTGATGTTGATGAAGGGCTTTTGATGCTAGTGAAGGTATCTTCATATTTGGTGAAGGGTTCGTGATGTTAGTTAAGGCCCCTTTGATTTTTGGTAAGGGTTCTTAATGCTGTGTAGCTCTTATGAAGGAATTAAGCTAACTGTGTTAAATTGTTTTATCCTACACTGCCCAGATTTTCGGGAAAGGGAAAAATTTCTCTTGACTGAAGATTTCCTTCAGATGCTCAATTATTTCCCCTCATTAATTTACCCCTTCCCTTTCCCCCCCGCTAGTATTCCCTTCCCCCTCCTTACCCCCCTCATCTCTCCGAACCTCTATCCTACAAACACTTTAAATATTTAACTTTTTTTTCACCTTACACTCCATGATGGTGGTTGTGTTGTGTGTGTGGGGTTTTTTCCCAAAAGCAGTCATACATGGTGCTAAAAATGCATATCGACATTCCCTCTGCTGACAAAGCTACATACCAAATACTTGACCTATAATTCACCACCAAGCATCACAACACCTATAAACCACGCGGAATAAAACGATCACTTTAAAAACCAAACCCCCGGCCGGTTTGCCCCCTCAAGGTCTCAAAACCCCACCCCCGGCAGTGAAGGGACTTGAGCTAAAATTTTCGTCACGGCCACCAGCTGGAATTCGTCTGTAAAAACTTGCTTTTTGGGGTCACTGTGCCTGTGCAAACCCTTTCTATGGTTAAAATATACCAATTTGGGATGAACTTATTGTGCTACTGTCTAGGGGCAACGCGACGGCTGAGTTTTGGACTCTATACCGCGGGTTTCAACCCCGGGCCCGGGGGTATGGTTTGTTTGCAATCGTGCTTTACGATTTCGGACATGATCACATTACGTAAACCAAACCGAAATAGAACGGGCCACGGGGCCCTTGAACCCCACCCTTGTGACAGAAGGTGTGGGGAAAAGCCCCTGAGAGGCGGCACAAACAACAAATGTAACTGATGCCCATTAGAAAGGGGATACAAAAAATTAATGGAGCACCCTGATTTAAGAAATCGGTAAACAGTGAAGAATCCCATGAGAGAGAGGTTCACGGGAAGAGACCACCTGAGAGAGGGGTCACGGAAGAGTACCACCTGAAAGGTCCGGGAAGATCCACCTGAGAGAGGGGTCACAGGAAGAGTACCACCTGAGAAGGGGTCACAGAAGAGTACCACCCAGAAGAGGTCACGGGAAGAGTACCACCTGAGAGAGAGGTCAAGGAAACACCACCTGACGAGAGGTCACAGAAATTACCTCCTCAAAAGGCAAAATATGAATATGTTTCGTAATGTTTAGAGACTTGGACCAATCGGGAGTACAATCCCCACAGGGAACCCAACAGCACACCCCTTGAGTGAAAATTAAGGGGTTCCCTGCCATAAATATGACCCTGAGAACAAAATAACTTAAAAACAAAACCCCTTACATAACAAAAGCAAGAGACACAGCACAAGTATATACCAGAGTTGACGTGAAAAGACTGTTGACACGGGAAAAACTGGCGTTTAAATGAAAACGGTACATAAGAAGTGACAGTGAACCATGGCAGTTGTTGGGAAAAGGGATGTTGCAAAAGGCCAAACTCAATAGAGCCCAAGAACAACTGAGAGCCAAGAAGGGGGGGAAAAGAGTTTGATACAACCCCCAAAACAAGATTACACCACTAAGACGTAATCCAAAAAGGGCAAACATTATTCCCCCTCCCTCCTTCCCTCCACCCCCCCCCTCCCTCCCTCCCTTCACCCCCCATCACCCCTCCCCTCCCCCACAACTAACAGGGGGTGTTCTATAGCAACCAAAACAACAACAACAAATAACAACAAAAACAGTTCACACACGTACATACCCCCCCACCCCCTCCCTTTTCCCCCTCCCAAAATTTTTCCCCTTGACCCAAGCTGTGAGATTCATTTTTAGCTAAGACCTGACCTCTAATTGATAAAACCCAAGCTTACTCTGCTAACATTCTATTACCAAGTTTAAACCTGTTATTATTGCCTTGCTAATTTTCCCCACATTCCCAACTAAAATTTTCTTTTAATACCTTGCACTGGAGAGGGTTTCAGGAGAGGCCCAGGTCATGACTTTGGGACTCAAGTCAGTGTTGGTGGGCCCTGGGGTCCCATCAGAATTCTCCCCATCAATGGACTAGAGGCCCCATCATGAGTTTCTAGCCACTACTAAGGGACCTGGGCCCCCCATCATGAATTCTAGCCCCACTAATGGACCTAGAGGCCCCATCAGAGATCTAGCCCACACAAATGGGACCTGGAGGTCCCATCATGAGATTCTAGCCCACTATTTTGGCCCCTGGGGCCCATCATGGGATTTACCTAATACCCCACAAATTTTGTCTAAACATTTTTTTTACCAAAGCTCGATAATTTCTTATCTTGCGTCAACTTTTTTGGTTCATGTCAGCCAGTCGTCCTTTCACCTAGCTTCTAATTTAAAATTTCTCGAAGTGTTTACGTTTTGGGCATGTCTATTATAACCGCTATGCCTGTCTGTCCCCGGGCAGCAGTGCTCTTACTTAACAAACATAATTGTTTACTTCTCGTCTTTTGGGATACACATCCAAAAAAGGCAGTGTTGTGATCACAAACAACTCTTGATGTTATGCAGTACTTGAGAGAAACAGGTATCCTACTGGATTCTTGTTTGTATTGACTTGTGTAAGGATTTTTGAGAATAATATTCTTCACTACGCTTCTTCGTCACTCCGGACTCAAAGGTGACACACACACACACACAGCTACCTCATCATCGTGGTTATAAATGGCCCTTTCTCAACTACCCAACCAATTCAGTCTGGTGTCCCACAAGGTAGCATTTTGGGTCTTCTTTATCAGGGAGTTACTGAGACACACAGCATCTCTAACCAGTTCCCTTTGCTGAGACCAGCCGTGTCTTCAACCTATCTTCCCAGCCTGCCCCTCCAACCTTCTTCACGCGTCCCCCACAGCCTTTTTTCACAGCCTGTACTTCCAACCCTGCTTCACACCTGTACCCCCAAAACTTCTTCACAGCCTATGTCTTGGTTTTTGGCCTCACTTTTAAGAAAAGATTTTCTTGGTTTTTAAAAACCCCGCGGGTTTTACCCACCCAGCAAAACCCCAAGAAACTGCGCTCGAGGTCTAACATGCTTCCATGTGGCCCCAAACTTGTCCCCCGGGGATCCCACCCACAAAAGTCGACTAACCCCCGGTACCTATTTTGCTGTTGTTAACTGACAACAGTGTAAGGAAACACGTCGAAATGTTTCCACCCCGCGGGGAATCGCCCCCGGGCCCTCCATGGTGAAGCGAGAACTTTAGCCCCCAGGCCACCGGCCATTTTCCCTTTAAATTATCAAAGTTTACACTTGGGGGCAAAAAAATAAATTTACCCATTTATAAAAAAAATAAATATTCTATGCGTCTTTTCATTGCAATGAAAAATAAATAAATCTGAAACGGAGTAAAAAAGAACATAAGAACAATAAAGGAGGACACGCGGAGGCCTTTGGCCCATCTAGGCAGGTCCTTTACATTCTCCCACAACAAAACATTTCCCCAACCCCAAATTTTTAAATGTACCCAAAAAATAAGCTCCGATGGCAACCCCCTTTCAATCCAACCCCTCCCACTCAAGTACTTACCCAAACCCAAAATTTGAAACTACCCAAAGTCCAGCCCAATAACCCAACTGGGTAACTTTTTCCCCTCATCAATACCCTTTTTCCCAAACCCAATACTTTTCCTAGTCCTTTCAAATCTAAATTTATCAAATTTTAAATCCATTACTGGGGGTTCTCTCTTGGGGGGAAGGGGGCTGTGTCTC